TACTCTTAATGGATAGCATTTACTGAGCATCTATATGACAACTTATATTGCCAAGACTATATGCCTTGGCAGAGTTAAATGCACAACCCTACGAGGTCAGGATTAATATCCCTGTTTACAGATAAAGAAATTAAACCTTAGCTGAAAAGTGACAAAGCTAGGCTGCAAATCCGGATGTTTGGCTCCAAAGCCTGCACCCATACGGATCTTGTTATTCTGCCTCCTTACAGGGTTTTCATCCACCATTATACTCCTAATCTTTACTATTTTATCTCCGAAACATTTATTGGACACTTACTGCCTGTTGGGCAAAGGCTTTGGGATTGAAATGACAAACACACACAAATCCTGCCCACAAGAAGGTAACAGCCTATTAAGCAAGATAATCACGGAAATATGAATTATAATTCAGTGTGAAACACACACAAACAGAAGCACATTTGTACCAAGTATAGCTTTAACATTTAAAACTGATTTAAGCGATTGTGTGTCATTAAAAAAAAACAACAACAACACAGTAATACTCTTTCTCAGTAATTAAGTTTCTGGAAACTCATTATGATAAATGCTAGTAGGGTAAAGTGAGAGCTTAGTTTAGGCCAAAACACAGAAAAAAAGGAAAGAACTGGTATCACACAAAAGCCACTTGGATATTATCCCTTTCTCATGCAGATTCTTTCCTGAAAATTTTGGGAAAAAATGCAGAATCCCTTCTCATTCCCTAAACATTTCCCCCCCATGGGCATTATTCTGCTTAAAAATGCATTAGGATAAGTTCAAATGGTTTTACTTATAGCTAATTAGATATGAACAATCATGTCAAGAGGGATGCAGGGGCATGGAACCAATGTTCCCATCCCAATGAGATGGAAAAACTATATCCAGCTTGCTTTACATGAGTGTCTGGGACAGCCATCTGTTACAGAGGAATTTCTCCTCATAATATGCCTTCTCATTTTCCTGGAAAAGAGATGCCAAATGGCAAACCACAGTGGGAAAAGCATTAGTGAAAAATGTGAAGGAAAGAATTCGCACATCATTTAAAAATTTTTTTTTAAATTTTTATTTGAGAGAGAGATCATGTGTGCGCACACTCCAAGAGGGGCAGAGGGGAAGAGAGAGAGACAGACAGAAACAGATAGACAGAGAAAGAGAATCCCAAGCAGGCTCTGTGCTCCCAGCACTGAGCCAGATGCAGGACTCTATCCCATGAACCTGGGATCATGACCTGAGCTGAAATCAAGAATCCAATGCTCAACCGAATGAGCTACATAGGCGCCCCAAGAATTCACATCTTTAACATATCAGGAGCCTAATAAACATTTGTATCTGTGACCCAACAATCCTCCCTTTAAGAATATACCTAAAGGAAATGGTGAGGAATTCAGACTATGGTTTTTATACAAAGAGGCTCATGACAGCCTAATTTTTAAGAAAAGAAAAAAGGATATAAATAAAATGTCCAAGACTCTTAAAAACTGAGAACAAACTTAGGGCTGATGGGGGGCGGGAGGGAGGGGAGGGTGGGTGATGGGTATTGAGGAAGGCACCTGCTGTGATGAGCACTGGGTGTTGTATGGAAACCAATTTGACAATAAATTTCATATATTTAAAAAAATAAATAAATAAAATAAAATAAAATAAAATAAAATAAAATAAAATAAAATAAAATAAAATATCCAAGAGCTAAAGAATAGTCATATGAACTCTGGACAACCAATAAGAAGATATATGCACAGGAACACAAAAAAAATGGAAGGAAAATATATCTGGTATCTCTAAAATAATCATTTCAGTGTGGAGAAAATACAAAACTACTATTTATTTTTATCTTAAATTTTTAAAATGTATATTTCTGGCATATATTTTGTAAAGTATTAGTTTAATTATAAATGTGCATATGACAGATGCATGCCCGTATTTCCTTACTGATAGGAGAGTTTGCTTCCAAGACTATTTAGAGACAGCCCCGCTAGATTATATTCACATGGATCACTCCAACTGGTCTGGCAACAGCTTACATTAGGAAACGTAGGCAGCCCATGACTGTATAAAGATTATGGGCCTTATTCAAAGGGCTGATATTATCACTAGACACTTCATTCTCTGAAGATGAAACCTATCATAATCTGCAATTACAGTGTGTTGGACTTTATGAGCTCTCTCTAATGGGCCCTAACTCAAAAATAGCTAAATGGTGGATAAAATCCAAGTGCACACATTCCAGTGGTAAAGTATTAAAACACAGCTGGGCAAGCATGACCAAGACTTTAAATTAAATCCTGTGACTATAGGACTTGATCTCTATATTGATTTGTGAAGGCTAATCACACCTAAGATTTATTCTAGGTGATTTTTTTTTCCTCACGTTTCTCACACATCATTCGTAACTTGTATTTAAGAAGACCAAATTCCTGAGATCTTTAAATAAGTTAAACCAATTAAAACTGATCATTATTATGCCAGACGGTCAGAAAAGACTGAATACACACTAAAGTAAACAAATGAAGGCTCTATTTTTGTCCATGATCCTCAAGTGAAAGCTTGGCTTGGGCGCCTGGGTGGCTCAGTCAGTTAAGTGTCTGACTCTCAATTTTGGCTCAGGTCATGATGTCATGGTTCATGGGATGGAGCTTTCAGTGCAGAGCTTGCTTGGGATTCTCTCTCTCCCTCCTCTCTCGCCCCTCCCCTGTGTGCACTCATGCTCTCTCTCTTTCTCTCTCTCTCTCAATAAATAAATCAACTTACAAAAATACAAAAAAGAAAGCTTGGCTTAAATTCTCCCAAGAACTTGAAAAGAAAAAATGAGGATAATAATATACCACTGATACAAAGGATAACCATGAGGCTGCCTGTATGGTTCATCACTTAAGTGTCCGACTTCAGCTCAGGTCATGATCTCACGGTTCGTGAGTTCGAGCCCCACATTGTGTTCTGTGCTGGCAGCATACAGCCTGCTTGGGATTCTCTCTCTCTCTCTCTCTCTGCCCCTCCCCTGACTGTGCTCTCTCTCTCTCTCTCTCTCTCTCTCTCTCTCTCAAAATAAACAAACTTAAAAAACAACAACAACAAATGATAACTATGATCCCATTTATTGCACCAAGATAACACCAATGATAACAGATGCCACTTATTACATGCCTACCGTGTGCCAGGCACTATTCCAGGTGCTAAGTGTGTGCCACAGCCTTCACATTTAAACTTCACTATGGCCTTATGAGGTTATTTGACAGATGAGTAAACTGAGGCTAAGAGGGGCTATGTGCTGAGCCCAAGATCACTTACCTAGAAGAGCGACGGAGCCAGGACCTGACCCACACAGTCAGAGCCCTGCTTTCAATCTCTGGGTGCCCAGATCCGGGGATGCATGGGACTAGCCTGGTGGGCTTCTCTGGTCCAAAGGGAATACAGACTTGGCCCAGGCATCACATATACTCCCTTTCATAGCCTTCCCTTTCCATTAGGTTGCTAGTTTTATGGTCAAAAGCCACCAATACTAAGTCCCATCTTGTTTTATCTGAGATCAGGATGCATCTCACAATCTTAGTCAACCAGGTAGTATATGTGATGCTGTCACTGCTTGTCATGTGTATGAAATCAGAATGGGTGTTGGCTTAAATCTCAGAAACCATATAGGGTAACCTTAAAGAAATGTTGCATTGCAAGCACCTTTGAAGGCACAGAGGACTGTATTTTGTTTCAAAAAGCAAGGACATCAAGACTGAGTAAGAATCAAGCTCAGTGTGAAGTTTACGAACCAACTTATTTATTTGTTCCTTTATATGTGTATAATAAAAAATCTAAGGTAAACATCTAAGAAACTCTTTCCATAAGTATAAACTATTCTAAAGGACAAAAAAGCTGCTGTTCTGTGTCATTTTAATTGGCAGCATTATTTTTTCTTAGTGTTACATAAAATAATGATATACCTCACAGTCATCGATGTCTTCAATGATTATATTACCTCTTAGAGTATTGCTCAGAGAGGTATTAAGTTTAGAATTTATCAGAAAGTTAAACTATGAAGTCCAAGAGGACTCCATTCACCTGAGTTTCCAAAGAGCCAGTCCAAAAATCATTGACTCAAAGGTTTAAAGTGACCACCTAGAGCAGATCTGCCTCCCTGGCACAACTTCTCCACGTAAGCCTTATGCCCAGTTTCTATCTCCTTACCCTCCACTGAACCCCAGATAGTTTCTATCTCCCCACTGGTCCCCACCTGAATGTCTGCCCCCCTCCCAGGTGCCTCATCACAAACCCGTTCAAAACCCTCGTTACTGATCTCACCCACATACTCTGCCCTGTGCTCACAGCTTAGGGGGGGCACCCCACCCTCCCAGTAGTCCAAACCAGTGAGTCAGGTATCAGAAAGTCTTCTCTCTCCCTAATTCTGGTCACAAATCCTGTGGCCTCTGCCTCCTCCTATTGCTTCATCCTATTTGCTCCTTGTAAGTGCCCTGGTGACAGGTTTTCCATAGTTCTTGCTTCAGCAATTTCCACTGTCACCTGACTGGGGTCCCCACCTCCAGCCTCTGCAGGCACCAAGCCCCCACTTCAAACCACTGGGACAGTCACAGACCTGTAACCAACACAGAACTCATTCCCCTCTGCTGCTTAACACCCTTCAAGGTCTCCACTATCTTCAAGTCAAAGTCAAGGTCTCCTGGTGAGCACAGCCTTTCTGTATCTCTATGCCTTGGCCCTCTCAGCTCCCACCTTTTTGAATGCCCTTCTTGCCCTTAGACTTCTAGAATAAGAATACATACTCTCTCCAGAATAGAGTACATATTCAAGAAATATTTTTTGAGTCAATGGGTAAATAAATGAATGGACTAACAAATGACTTGCTGGGATACTTTAGAGAAAAAAGAAGGAATCTTGTAACATCACATTTTACACTCTGTGGCACTAACATCTTTGTTTTCCTCCCATGAAAGCCATTCCTCCCACCCTTCCACTTTTGAGTCTTGTGCCCACCCCTAACGAGCACCTTCACATACCTCATTGATCTCATTTATTTCTTGCTGCTGGGTTAGCAGCACATGGACCGCAGGACTGTGACCATGCTTTGCTGCAAGGTGCAGGGCAGTATTTCCCTCCTGCAACAGAGACAAACTCACCATAGAGTCCGCTGCACTGAGCAACATGACCCTCCAATGGTCAGGACTGTAATGAGTTTTCTGAGGGGTTTCATTTAGGTTAAAGCTGTGGTCCAGAGTGTGGGCCACATTATCCACAGTTTCAAGTGAAATTTATAATTTTTTACAGTTTCAAATGAAAAGACATAGTTGTTCCAACAAGTGGGAAAACACCATCCATCCCCCTCATTCTACCTTTGCTGCTAATTTGCTAGCAAAAGGTGAAACAATAAAAGCAATTCACATAACCTATGTGAAGATAAACTGGTGACAAATTTCTGGGAGATAGTTTTAGCAATGTATACCAAACAATTTAATGTGTAGAACTTTTGAGCCCACAATTCTATGTATACATATGAATTTCTCCTAAGAAAATAATCAAAGATGTGAATATAGATATGGGTGTCTATCAGGGTTTCCCTCCCCAGTCAGGTAAGACTGACTCTTCAGCAGACCTCAAGGGACAAAGAGCACTGGAATTGACAGTGGAAAAAATCCATGTAATCTATTGAGTTCACAAACATTTATTGGGTGAAAACTGGCAATCTGGATGATCCATTGCCAAAGTGGGTTCATTTCATCTGGATATTCCATTATTCTGACTGTAGTAACAAGTGAACAAGTCTATTCCTGACCAAAATGCCATCACCAAATCTATATACCAGCTGTCACCACCCCCTTTCTCTCATTCTCAGCAAAGAAATAAAAGTCCAACTCACCTTGTCTTTTTCTGAAGTATGTAGATTAAGGAAGATAAGTTTTTCTATCATTTCAATGTGGCCCCTCTCAGCTGCCCAAAGAAATGGTTTTCTTCCTTTCTGAAAATAAATCACAAACCTCCAGTGTTTATTATACATTTAATGAATAAGCAAGACAACAGAGAGAGGCAGAGCACAAGCAGGGAAGAGGGAGAGAGGGAGACACAGAATCCGAAGCAGACTCCAGACTCCGAGCCGTCAGCACAGAGCTCAACATAAGGCTTGAACCCATGAATCATGAGACCATGACCTGAGCTGAAGTTGGACACTTAACCAACTGAGCCACCCATCAGATGGTGCCCTATCTAACTCCAGATATTTTAAAGGAGGAAGAAAAGATAGTTGGGGGGCAGGGGAGGGGAATGGAGACAGAAGTATTTTCTTCATTTAAAGAAAACACTCATGAGGGTGCCTGGGTAGTTCAGTCGGTTAAATAACCTACTCTTGATTTCCACTCGGATCATGATCTCATGGTTCATGGGATCAAGTCCCCTATCAGGCTCTGTGCTGACAGCACAAAGCCTGTTTGGGATTCTCTCTCTTTCCCTCTCTCTCTGCCCCTCCCCTGGTCACACGTGTTCCCTCTCTAAATAAATAAATAAACTTTAAAAAAATAAAGAAAACACAAATTGGCTTGCTGTGTTATTAACCAAAGGCTTAGAAAAATGTCTGAAATGTGAAAAACAAGATACAAGCCTCTTTATAAGAAGGTTCCTGAATCTGAATCTGAGATTTGTTATCTGATCTGCTAATGCAGGGTAATCAAAAGATCATGGAGACTGTTAACTTGAGATAACAGCACATGACTCCCCCATAACTGGGAAAAAAAGGAAAAATGTTGAAATAATAAATGGCAAAACAAAATGTCCACGAGGATCAGCCCTATGGAGCTCTCCATTCACACATATATGGAAGTTGGAGAAACAAAATGGTGCCAAAAAGTTCACCTAATTCATTATTCTTGAGCCAGACCTGTTTGCCAGTGAGGCCTACATCCCCAAGCTTCTATGCTGGAAGGCCTGACTCTCATTGCCATTCTCATAAAGTCACTAAGGAAGGGCAAAGAGAAGGAACAGAGACTGCTTCGACCCCCAGTCTTCTGTTAGCAAGTTAGACCCCTAATTGAAGAGAATTTAGTCTTGAGCCATGAACAACATTTTGGAAATGATAGACCAAAAATTATTGAATCTAGGTTATTCAAATATATGCAAATGGAGACAAAAGAGAAAGGTTCATATAAAAAAATGACAAAAAGAGATGTGAGAGACATGATTATACACTACATGAAAACATTTAGTCACATACCTTTATAAATTATTCATTAATTTATTCCACAATTACTGAGCATCTATGAATATGCCAGATATTGTGCTCAACCATAGAGTGGCTGGGATGAAAGATACACTGCCCCATCCTCAAAAAGCTCAGAGTGCAACAGGGAAAATGGACACATACAAGCAATGATAATGAAATATAGGAATTGAACCCTGGTGACACGCGGGAGTACTTAACTCAGCATGAATGTGTGCTTGTGGGTGGGGAGACAGGTGACAAGAAATGAAGAAGGCAGCCTTTTAAGTTCATGAATGCACTGGGATGGGAGAAAAGAGCACTGGTGATGTTTCCTGCCCATCATCTTTTCCTCTAGAGGGCCTGTGGCCTATATTTGTGGAGCTGTTAATTACAGGCTCCTGCCTCTTCCACAATATATCCCTTGATCACACTGTTTGGTTCAGGTATGGTCACATGCCACGCCAGGCCAATCAGGGTCAACCGTGGGATTATTTTTCTGCGCATTCTATTTGTAGTCTAGAATCAGCAGCAGCTAAGCCATCAGCAGTCCTCCCTGTTACCTGATGAGGACAATTTGCCTAAGAATAAAGCCAGCACAGTGGAGAGCAGAGCTGGAAATGGAAAAAGAGACAAGAGCCCTGTTGACATCATTTGTGCTGCTGGATTCAGACATAACTAAAATTGCCTGTGCCTAAAGTGTCTAACTGAATGAGTCAATAAATTCCTTTTTTTTTTTTTTTTTTCCCTTTAAGTAGTTGGAGTTGAGCTGCTGTCACCCCTCACTAGCAGGGCTTCCTTAAAGCAACTGCCTTATCTCAAAGATTTATGAGAGTGACTTCAACGCCCACCAGAGGGTCTTTTTGGCTTCAATTAAAGATTTCAGATTAACGGAATTATCACCGGCCACATCTGACACCACTTTACTCTGAAGATATAGGACACAAACCACAGCTGGCCAAGGTCAGCCGTTCCTCTTCATACCATGTCCCTACAGAGTTGTCCAGGAGCTGCTGCCTTTGGCCCCCCAGGTGATAGCTCAGTTGCAAGGTGACAAATCTACAGTGGACAGGCATTGGAGCCACCCTGTCTAGAAGGATGGTGCCCCACAGGAATAAATACCCCAAGCATAGTTTCCAGATCCCCACAAGGGATGTGCTCCATTAGTTATAAGTCATTACAGTCAGGGAAGCCCAAACCCAAAATATGGCTTCCCCCCAGTGATGATAGTGCATCTGTAGTTCCTCCAAGTCCAGATGCAATTTGCCAATTAGGGGTCATTTTTATCATAAACAAAGCTAATCTTGTTTGCAGTAACACAGAGCTAGAAAGTTAACTAACGTTTAAATTCTCAGGCAGAAGGGGTGCCTGGGTGGCTCAGTCGGTTAAGCGGCTGACTTCGGCTCAGGTCATGATCTCGCGGTCCGTGAGTTCGAGCCCCGCTTCGGGCTCTGTGCTGACCACTCAGAGCCTGGAGCCTGTTTCAGATTCTGTATCTCCCTCTCTCTGACCCTCCCCCGTTCATGCTCTGTCTCTCCCCGTCTCAAAAATAAATAAACATTAAAAAAAAATTTAAATTCTCAGGCAGAAGCAAAAGGGGTCTTATTAGCCCTTTACCCACCACAGAAACCATAAATGATACATGAGGGTGTTGTGTCCCAGAGTAGACATTTACTGCTTTTATGTGTATGTTTCTTCTAGTAACAGCAGGTTCATTTTCCTTTTGAGAACTTCCCCACTTATACAGACACCATTTATCCATTTAGTGCTGTCAACTGCCAGGTTTCACCCGCCACATGAAGTGATCACTTTAACCCACGCTGGTCACAGTGATTGGTCCAGGATTAGGCAGATGATTCATGCAGGGCCGAAAAGAGTTGTTTCTGAGATTTATATATGCACATTTATTTTTTTCCTAAAGTTTATTTATTTTGAGAGAGTGTGTACACATGCATGCACAAGCAGGAGAGGGGCAAAGAGAGAGAGGGAATGAGAGAATTCCAAGCAGGCTTTGTGCTGTCAGCACTGAGCTTGACATGGGCCTTGAACTCACGAACTGTGAGATCATAACTTGAGCTGAAATCAAGAGTAGGACGCTTAAATGACTGAGCCATCCAGGCACCCTATATATGATCATTTAATGAGAGAAATTTTCTTTCTTATGAATAAAAATCCATAAGAATATCCCCAAGAATATCTTGAAACTGCTAGCAGCCATCTTTCCCACCTTGTGGAGAGTACCAATAATGCCAACAGAGACAATCGAGAGTTGGAGAGGGAGAAAAAAAAAGGGGGGGGGGGCTGGATCCAGCCGTGTCTGAAGCCATTCAGATACAGCCTCCAACTTTTTAGTTAGGAATAAATAAATAAATTGCTTAATCTAGATTAAACTGGATTTTTATCACTCATCGCAGAAAGAAGTTTCACAGATACATATTTAGTAGTATGGGAACGGATACTACTACAAGTACCAGGGGTCCGTTGAACTTTAAAAAGGCCTTACTCTTACCCTTGGCTAATACAAAGGCTTGCATTTCTGCATGGCTAAACAAAGTGACAGAGGACTCACCCACAAAGAAAGCCTAGTCTGGGAAGAAATGGGAGGTTATCAGAGTTGAAACATTTTTCCTCACCAAGAAAACAGCTATTACTTTCAACTTTGGATGCCCTTTAAAAATGTGATTATCAAGGGGAAAAAAAATGTGAACGTGAAATTACACAAAATAAGGGCATTTAAAGTAATCTATATTTTAGAAACGTACCAAAAGGCAACATAAATAAGGAAGAAGTGACAGTAAAATGAGATATAAATCTTTTCTCTCATCTTAGTACATGTTATTAGGAAAAATAAGAACTTTAAAAATACTTGTCTTTTTCCTGTTTAAATACTGTTTCTTACCATGTCTCATTTCATTTTTTACCCATCCAATCCTTTTAAAATGATGTTCAAGTCGACCTCTATGCAGTGCAGCCTCACAGGACTCCTGCCCACTTGCAAGGCAGGGAGATTTTTCAGTCAGGGCAATGGAATAGTGGTGTCAGAGCCCCAAGCTGAAGACAAATCACAATGCCTCCCAGCTCAGGATGCTGATTGCCTTCCTTGATTAATGAGCATAAGAAGGGGCTAGAATTCCTTTTTCCTTTATTAACACAATGTATATTTAACCTAACATGTTTTAATTCAATGCATTTAAATTGTTTGCATGTGAACAAATCTAAGGGGTTAAAATTGTTAATTTGAGATTATTTTGGGGGCACCTGGGTGGCTGTCAGTTAAGCTTCCGACTTGGGCTCAGGTCATGATCTCATGGTCCATGAGTTCAAGCCCCGCGTCAGGCTCTGCACTAACAGCTCAGAGCCTGGAGCCTGCTTTGGATTTCGTGGCTCCCTCTCTCTCTCCAACCCCCACCCCCACCTTCTCATGCTCTGTCTCTCTCTTTCTCAACAAATAAATAAACATTAAAAATGTTTTTGAAATTATTTTTCATTATGAAGTTTACTACCAGGATTATCAAATTTGACAAGTTACCAAATTAAACAAAGATTTCATAAACAGCCATTCAATAGGCACCTGAAGTCCAAACTGACTCTTCTTGCCCATAGAGATCCCGGAGGTGGTGCCCTGGAGAGCCTCTGAGAGGAGGCCAGGGAGGACCCAGCACAAAGTCCTCCAGTGCCTTGCGTGTAGGTCTACACCCCATGGCAACTCTCCTTATCCTGGGACCCTCACAACAGAACCCCAACATAAGGAAAACACCAGGAGATTCCTTAATAACTAGAGATTGGAGAGGGAAAAGTAAGTTGCCATGAAGTAAAAACTACTGAAGGAGCAGTGTGTTAAATATGCAGTCATGGACCTAGGGTGGGTAGGATGAGCTCTCCCCTTGCACACTGGAACCCTTAAATATTGGCCTCAGGTCCATACAAGAAAATCTATCTTTTCAAATCCTCTCATGCTCATTATTCCCAACACTCCAAAACGGGACGCTTCTTTGCATTTTGACCTCTAAAGACTTACTATATTCATTTGAACCAATGGAAGTTCCCATTAAGTATGCAGCTGAAACCAACCTTACATTGTACCACCAAACTCTTAGATTCAACAACTGTGCATATACTCTAAAGCCATTCCTTTCTGTGTCGCTGCTCCACTCCAAACATTTTGAGTGCTTATTTTTGACCACTAGATGGAAGTTTACACGTAGATTCAGAACATCTACACTACTTCACCCAAAACTTCTCCCGGCTGCTCTATTCTCTCTCCCCTGGAGAGGACACATGATTTCCCAAGCTATGGACATGAAAGAAACCTCAAAGTATTTTCCATGTCTTCCATCTCTCCCATCCCCACCCACACTTTCCTGGGCCTAGTGACATCCCTTTTATTAATAAAGACCGCCTCCCTATAAGGCTTTCCTTGTTAGCTTTTGGAGTTCCCTCTGGGCTAGAGAAAACAATCTTACTAATACTGGTCAGGTAAACAGGCTCTCAATCACATTCTGCCGATAAGAAAGTAGGCAAGAGGGTCAGCTATGAGGGTGAAGCAGTTTTTTCTATCAAATGCATTCAATGAGTTCCACAATACTTTTAAGTAAACACAGATGGAAAATCCAAAGATGAATTAATAGATCCTGAGCTCCTGATCCCACTTCATACTGGATTTTGCCAACATCCTTGAACCCCACTCACAGATCTCAGAAAAAGAGTAGACTTTGTCTTTTGCATTGATCCACTTAGGTTTCTTTAAAACTAAAATTGGATTCAGAGATTCCTTTCTCCCAAATGAGCCAGTGGAGTATTTATTTGTTCATTCCTCATATGTCTCTGAATCCATCTTAATTTTAAGATCTCTCAGTGGGGGGGGGGGGGCACCTAGATGGCTCAGTCAATTGAGTGTCAGACTTCAGCTCAGGTCATGATCTTGCAGCTCGTGGGTTCTGTGCTGACAGCTTAGAGCCTGGAGCCTGATATGGATTCTGTCTCCCTCTCTCTCTACCCCATCCCCACTCATGCTCTTTCTCTCTCTCAAAAATAAATAAACATTTAAAAATTTTTTAAAAAAGATCTCTCGGTTGGACATGTGGTTCTGCACAGTCTGCTGCCAGGGCTCCCCAGTCTTTTTCCCACCAGACAGAGGAGGAGGAAGAGGGGTGGGACAGGACAACCCCAGAGTCAGCTACAGAGACGGTGGGCAAGAGGGCTGCTGGCCAGCAGAAGTTCCAGATATGAAGGCACCCCACAAACCTGCTTTGGTGTTTGAGTCCCTTCAGCCTATTGATCCTCCCATACACAGCTGTCTCCTGTCAAAGCAGCTGGAGCCCACTGAAAAGGAAGACCGTCATGTGTCTCAGAGATACCAAATATCTGCTGAATGGAATTGAGTGGAATTCATTCACAGGTCACATCCCTACCTAGCATCAATCAAACCAGAATGATCTAATGTCCGCACTGTGACACTAGATGCTATCTATGATTATGATTTTGAGGAAATCAGACAATGCATTTTGCCCTATGATTACTGTTATAACAACTACATTTAGTGAGCACTTACCAGGTACCAGACTCTTTGCTAAGTGTTTTATAGTCATTAACTCATTTAAACATCTCAACAGTGGCTGTTCCAATACTGCCACATAAGAATGGCTTAGGGGTGGTATCTGATTAGAAAAGGGTGGTAGAATGGCTTACAGTGAAGTTCAATGGCATAGGCATTTTTTACATAAAATTGAGGAAATGTCAATACTCTATATCAAACCATAGAGGTATTGCCTCCCCAATTATCCCTTGTAGATACCGAGGCTTTCAGCAGTCAGAGAACTTGCTTAAAACCGTATAACTAATACATGCCCAGACCACAGCCCATGTCTGTCTGCCTCCAAGCTGTAAATGTACAGATGCTCAGTCATACTCAGAGGAAGTAAAAGAAACTTATAGACTTCATTTGAACAAATTACCGTTGTTGTTGTTGTTTTTAAGACTGGAGTCAGACAAGAATGTGAACGTTTTTTTACAAGAGGTCAAATGAGGTATTACTGATTAATTTATGGAGAGACTTTTATGGACACTATTGTAGGCACAGTGAAAAAGAGGTCCCATTTGAAATCAAAACTTCAATCTCACAGGGTATACTCCCTTATGAAAAAGGCCTAGAAGAAGATATTCCAGGGAAAAGACAGTTCATGACACAGAAGGAATGTCCACAGTCATCTGAGAAGAGAGACAGGACAGCATGGTGACTGAGGTCAGCAAGACCTGAATTCAAATTCTGGCTCTCACTGTCCAACTCTGGGATATGGATGAGGTACTCAGCCTTTCTGAGCCTCAAATTCATCACCTTTAAAAATAAGCAAAATTCGCGGCACCTGGCTTGCTCAGTTGGTTAAGCATCTGACTTTGGCTCAGGTCATGATCTCAGAGTGTGTGAGTTCAAGCCCCACATACAGCTTTGTGCTGACAGCTCAGAGTCTTGTGTCTCCCTCTCTCTGTCCCCGCACCAACCCCCCCGCTCTGTCTCTCTCTCCTGCAAAAATAAACAAGCATTGAAAAAAAAAAAAAGCAAAATCCAGGGCACCTGGGCAGCACAGCCAGTTAAGTGTCCGACTTCAGCTCAGGTCATCATCTCACAGTTTGTGAGTTTGAGCCCCATGTCAAGTTCTGTGCTGACAGCACGGAGGCTGGAGCCTGCTTCAGATTCTGTGTCTCCCTCTCTCTCTGCCCCTCCCCCATTTGCATTCTCTCTCAAAAATAAATAAACATTAAAAAAATTAAAAATAAGCAAAATCCTGCTGTATAGGATTATTATGGGAATTAACAGGAGAATTCATTCATTTAGCAAAGATTTGTTAAACCATATACACCAGGCCCTCAACTTCTCAATGAAATACTGTAAGTAAATAGCTTTCCTTTGTACCTAGCACACCAATAAATACTCAACAGGTGGTAGCTGTTATTATTATATATCTACACATGAAAAGAAAAGGAATGTAGACAAGTACAGTAAAATTGCATTATATTCCATGGCTCATTACTACATACACTTGGGCCAAATACACTCCAAAAAGGCCAAGCATAATGTAGTAAAATGAAAGCATAAATTCTAAATACAAAATAGGGTGGATACTGTCTACACCCAACCAGGATGAGAGAGTAAAGGGGGAAAAAAGAACTTAGCGGCTTCCTCAATACTCCTCATCCTCCCCACGTGCAGATGCCAGGGTCACCACCAACACCAACACTTCTCTTCTGTTCTGCCGTCTGCCAGAGTGACAGAGGAGCTGGGTACAGGGCCAGGTCTGTCTGTGCTGGATGCTTTGGCAGCTCTAGGAGGAGTAGGAAGAAAGAGGAAGGTAGGTGGATGTGTACACGGGACCTATCCTACCAGAGCAAACATACCTCATCGGGCTGGTTCAGGTCCTTCAAGTGCAGATCTTGAATGAGGTACTCCACAATGCGTACATTATTGTTCTGAGCTGCAAAGTGGAGGGCATTCATTCCATCCTGAAGAGAGCCAAGGTAAAGGACATAATTACACAACAATCTTAAGACTTCCCCAACACACATTGGTACAGTGAGGACTATTTTCAGGAGTAACCCACATCCCACCTGATTCTTGGCTCTCTGGTCTGCTCCAGCTCTAACCAGCATGAGCATGATCTCAAGACTTCCAGACCAGGCTGCAAGGTGAATTACTGTCAAGCCGTGCTTCCCCAAGAAGAGAAAAGAGAAGTATCACTCGGATGAGCCACAACATATTATTTCAGTCAACAAAGACCAAGTTAATACTGAAATCTTGAAAATTAAGAAATAGGGAGAAAATTTAATATTCAGTAAATGTAATATTTCAATTCTATGGGGGAGAGGAATACATTTTAAATGGTGCAAGGACAAGTGGTTCTCCATAGGGAAGAAAATAAAATCAAATCTTGTATCATATTATACATGTAAAAAAGCACACAAAAAGTACATATATTAGAAGAAAATCTAGACTGTAAGACACAGTGTCTTGATCTACAAGTTACAAAAGGAAAGACTGATGAAGTCAATAAATAGATTTTTCAAAATGTATCTTAATAAACATAAGTGGTTACTTTCTCTAATACATGAAGCCTCTTACAAATCAACAAGAAGAAGGCAATTAAACCAATTGAAAAAGTGTACCCCCAAAAAGGTGCTCTCTTAAGGTATTAGTGGAAATGAACCACTTTGGTTTCAGCAATTCGGCAACATCTACCGAAATTTTAAATTCAACAAGCAATTCTACTACTGGGAATCTATCCCTTGAAAATGAGTTTTAGGACCTAATGTTATATAAACAAGGATATTAACTGTAACCCTTAAAAATGAGAGCAAAGGTAAATGTCCATTAATAATAGGAATGCTGAACACATTAGGGAACCGTGACACCACATCAGGCAGCCATAAAAAATAATGAGTTGGAGGGGCACCGGGGTGGCTCAGTGGGTTAAGCATTTGACTCTCAATTTTAGCTCAGGTCATGATCTCAGGTTCATGAGAGTGAGCCCCACATTGGGCTCTGTGTTGACAGTGTGGAGCCTGCTTGGAATTCTCTCTCTCCCTCTCTCCCTCTCTCTCTCTCTCTCTCTCTCTTTCCCTCCTTCCCTCCCTCCTCTCTCAAAAATAAATAAACATTTTAAAAAGGTGGGTACATAGGTAGATAGATGCTCAATACCTAGATGGATATGGTTATGAGTATGAGGAAAAGTACAGATACAAACACACATACTCTGCATTGTTAAATGTAGTCACTGGAGAAGGAGTATGTACACAAAAAAGAAAAAAACAGAGAAGACTGAAGTTATAAAAAGAATCCCAATATATATACCTTATTTGAAATATTTTCTCTGTATAAAATAATATAGGTGCATATGTGCATGAAACAGACTATCAGAGACTTTATCAGGAACCTTTAGGGATGCTATAGGCAGTTAGACTCATATACTCAATGCGTAGGAGAAGAGTGTGAAAGGAAATAGCTAACAGTTAACATTGGCTATCTCAGTCGGATAAAGGGTTAGTATCCAAAATCTATAAAGAACTTATCAAACTCAACACCCGAAAACCAAATAATCCAGTAAGAAATCGGCAAAAGGCATGAACAGACATTTTTCCAAAGAAGACATCCAGATGGCTAAGAGACACATGAAAAGATGCTCAACATCCCTCATCATCAGGGAAATATAAATCAAAACCACAGTGAGATACCACCTCATACCTCTCAGAATGCTAAAATTAACTCAGAAACAACAGATGTTGGCGAGGATATGGAAAAAAAGAGGAACACTTTTGCACTGCTGGTGGGAATTAAACTGGTACAGCCACTCTGGAAAACAGTAGGAAGTTTCCTCAAAAAATTAAAAATAGAGCTACCCTATGACCCAACAATGGTAGTACTAGGTATTTATCCAAAGGATCAAAAATGCTGATTCAAAGGGCACACACATCCCAATGTTTATAGCAGCACTATCAACAATATCCAAATTATGGAAAGAGCCCAAATGTCCATCAACTGATGAATGTATGAGGAAGATGTGGTCTCTGTGCATGTCTGTGTGTGTGAATGTGTATATAAATACACACCATGCATGTATATCTATAGACACATGCACACACACACACACACACACACACACACACACACACACGGAATATTACACAGCAAGCAAAAAGAATGAAATCTTGCCATGTGCAACAAAGTGGATGGAACTAGAATCTATTATGCTAAGCAAAATAAGTCAGAAAAAGAGAAATAGCCTATGGTTTCACTCATATGTGGAATTTAAAAAACACAATTGTAACCTAAGGATAAGATGCATGGCCCCGATGCTAAGAGCTCCAGGTTCGAAGTGGGTGGCATCCCCGAATCTTGGGAACAGGCACACTAGATGAATGAAGGATCTAGATGTAAACAAAGAATCCCAGGTGGAGGTGGTACTTTGGGGATAATGATAGGCATCAGCTCTCCGAGCTTCTTATCGATGGGAAGCTCTTCCTGTGCAAATATTCCCCAGGGGAAGTTATTGACCTTCTTGCTTACGACCAGACTGGTGCTAAGGCCAGATTGTCACTGACTCTGGGCCTTTTACACTTTACAGAGCATTCTGTGCAACTGTGAGTGTAATCCATGACGCATGCTCACAAACTGCCCTAGGCATGTCAGTTTCGTGTCACAAGACATAGTATTATGAACTTTTCTATGGGGAAATTTACATCTGTGAGTAGTGATTCTTTGCCTGTGAGGAATGATGACTCCACTTGGAATTTATGGCTTCAGAAGTTCCTGTTGTTGGCAGTTTGATTTCCTGACTCTTGGATTTTATGATTAGTGCTTGAAATCTCTGAGTGTTGCCTGCTTTGAAATTAAGCATGACCTCTTAGGAAAAAAAGAGCTCCTATCAAAATGTGATTCATCTTCTATAAAAAATATTTCTGACCTCTTTTTTGGTCATGTAGAAAATGGATTTAGTATTAATGAATATAGACCATTCATGTGTAGAGAAAGGTAATTGAGGAGTGGAATTGTATTCAGGGCACATTTTTTGAAGAACCTCAACTAGTTATTGTACATCATTGTTCCTTGGGAAAACGAGTGCAGAAATTGGTAAGCATTTTTTTCATACTGGAATTACAAATATTTAAATAGACTAACCGCGTAGTGTGACAGCTGAAATGTAAATTTTATAAAGTACGTACATTTAAAACAAGGCTTATCAACAGTGGCACTATGACATTTTTGGCCAGGTGATTTTTTGTTGTGGAGGGCTGTCTGAGATTATAGGATGTTTTGCAGTTATCTCTGGCTTCTACCCATTAAATGCCAATATCTCCCCTCAGCCACGGCAATTAAAAGTATCTCCAAACATCTCCAAGTATTTCCTGGGAACAAAATTGACAACGCCCCCCCTCCAAGTTGAGAACCACTAATTTAGAGTTACACTTCAATAATATGGGACTTCCTTTTTCATTTCTCCACACCTGTACTTTCCTAAGAAGAGAATACATTAACGTAATTTCTGGGGCAGCCAAAATAAATGCCAAAAGGCTTATGCTCTTTACAAATGGAGGTGCCCCCGCAGACCCTCATTGCTTGTTTATTTACTCATATTGTATACATCTAGCAAACTGGTTTCCTAGGTTACAAACACAGTTGATTACAAGATCCAAATAAGATGTGTGAGAAGACTTAGTTTTATTTTTTTTTTTTTAATTTTTTTTTTTACATTGATTTCTTTTTGAGAAACAGAGTGAGACAAAGCGTGAGGGGGGAAGGGGCAGAGAGAGAAGGAGACACAGAATCTGAAGCAGGCTCCAGGCTCTGAGCAAGCGGTCAGCACAGAGCCTGATGCGGGGCTCGAACTCACAAACTGTGAGATCATGACCTGAGCCGAAATCGGACGCCCAACCGACTGAGCCACCCAGGCACCACATGAGAAGATTTAGTTTTAGAAGGCACTTTAACAGAGTAATAGATGTTTTTTTGCCAGGGATAAAAGGAAACAGAAAAGCAGACACATTAACTTTTAGATAAGGAACCTGAAAGTGAGCATTAACTAGATCACAGCACTTGAAAGTACCAGAACCAGAATTGGAGGTCAGTTTCTTCTGATTTTACATATCATACTCATAATGTTTGCTCTTTATTACTTGTCTAACTTGGGGCCTAGAATGCAGGTCCCAGTTTTCCTAGTTCAGCACCCTCCATTCCACCTTCCTGAGACAGCCAATTTTTAATTTTTTTAGTTTTTTAAAAAAAAATTGTTAATATCTATTTATTTTTGAGAGAGAGACAGAGCATGAGCGGGGGAGGGGCAGAGAGAGGGAGACACAGAATCCAAAGCAGGCTGCAGGCTCTGAGCTGTCAGCACAGAGCCTGACACGGGGCTCAAACCCACAAACCGTGAGATCATGACCTGAGCCGAAGTTGGATGCTTAACCAACTGAGCCACCGGGATGCCCCTATTTTTTGGTTTTAAATGGAACTTTTATTTTTATTTTTCCTCATGTATTTACTTATTTTTAATTTTTAATTTTTTAAACTTTATTTAAATCCAAGTTAGTTAACAGTCAAAAGACTGTACACCCCTCAAAGCAGGGACTGTATGTCTTGCCAATGCTTCCTGAAACAATTACCTGGTAATCTTGTTAAATCACAGATTCTGATTCAGGAGGTCAGGGGTGGGTCTGATTCTGCATTTCAAGCTCCCAGGAAATACAAGTGTTTCCATCCCAGGACTACACTTAGGAGTAATAACAACTTAAATGGTGTTGAATTCCCAGCAGTTGGCATTGAGACTTACCCACAGCAGGCAATGAATAAATACTGATGGGGAAGGGGTTTGATTTTTGGCTCTTTGCAAACAGGTGTTAGAGCTTAGAAGACACAGCTGCCAAATCAAACTCAGGGGTCATCACCCAAATAAGGAGACGGCCAGGTTTGACCAAACACAGCACTGCTTGAATTATAAAAGAATTTTATTGGTTATGTACCAATGCCACTGTGAATAATTAAGTTAGGTACAGAAATATTAAACTTAGTGAAACTTTCAAGGTAGACTACAGAGATACATCAGAAATACATACACACACTCGCACAAGGCCAAGTTACAAAAAGTTGATGTTAGCTCCCAAATGTACATTTGGAAAAGCCTCAAAGAGAATAACTTGGTAAAATATCTCTTCAACATTTCAGGAACAAGTGACTTATACTCTGACAGAAACCAGCAGTGTATTTAATATATTAGAAACACGGCAATCCTCAGACATGCTTTTTAAAGGAAAAGATGCTGTCAACCTGGGCAATGGATGCATAAATGTTTATTGTACAATTCTTTCCCCTTTTATAGTACATTAAAGATTTGGGGTTATGGTCCTGGGTAGAATGGAGTAAGTATACTGCTCCTGGTCTCTCTCACCAAATGTGACCAAAATCTCCAGAAAGAGTGCATGGCACAGCTATTTGAGGATTCTGGGAAGCAAATAACAGCAATTAGATTGGGGAAGTAAACCAAAACTCAAAATATAAACAATGAGGGTTTTCTGATTTGTTTTGTTTTTGTTTTCCTTCCATACCTTCCAGGTTGAACTCAAGGCAGTGCAAGTCACAGAAATGTGTCCTAGGCACAGACACAAAGAGCTAAAAAAAAAAAAAAAAAAAAAAAAAAAAAAAAAAAAAAAAAAAAACCCTCTTTCTGGTCTACGGAGCAGAAGGGGGATCCTGCAAGAAAGAGAAAGTAGGGGAAATACTGTTTCTTTTTTCTGCTCTGGCTCTGCTGTACACAAGCCTCCTTCCCAAAGCTGGAACCCTGTGGTAGAAGAGGCAGCAGTATCAAGGACTGGGAAACACCTAAAACTGACCGAGAAACTGTGGTCAGAAGAGCAGGTAGGTGGTGACTCATGTTGCTTGTTTTCCTCCCTTAGTTGCAGAGGTAGACCTAATTGTGGGAAGCACATAACAGAGCTGAGAGACTACATACACCCTCAACTTTCTAGTCAGCACACCAAGAAAAGGGGGAGGGGGGCCCTGGAGCTGGGAAAAGTGGGGGTGATGATTCCAGAGAGGGGGAAGCTCAAGAAAGTGAGCCCATAAAGATGTGTGTGTGGCCGCACCCTGACCCTTACATGGACCTGACCCTAAGCAGCATGCCAAAGGCCTGGAATGGTGAACTATGGGGCAGACCACTGCACAGGTCTCAGAATGGGCCCTGGATGGTACATATGCAGGAAAGGTCCAAAGTACTGAAAACTGAAGTGACACTGGTGTCAAATGATGAGGAAATGGGTCCTGCATATGCAAGAAAAAAACAAGAATCTTGACCTATTCCTCATACCTTATAATTAACTCAAAATGGACAATAGATCAATTTTGTTTTTAGTTTTCTAATTTTTATTTTTTTAAAGATTTTATTCCTAAGTCATCTCTTCACCCAGTGTGGAGCTCGAACTCACAAACCCAAGATCAAGAGTCCAATGCTCCACCAACTGAACCAGCCAGGTACCCAAAAATGGACAACATATCTAAATGTAAAACACACAGCTATAAAAATTTTAGAAGGAAAAATATGAGAAAATCTTCATGACCTTAAGTTAGGCAAGTCATTCTTGGTGGTTTTTTAATTATAGGTAAACTGTACTTCATCAAAATTAAAAACTTTTGCTCTGTAAAAAATGTGGGAAAATATTTGTAGATCACATATCAAACAAAGGACTTGTATCCAGAATATATAAATAACTCTCAAAACTGAACAATAAGCAAAAGCCCAATTTAAAAAATATATTCAAAATATTTGAATAGACACATAATCAAAGAAAATATACAAACAGTAAATAACACAAGAAAGATGCTATCATTAGTCATTAAAACCACAATGTGATGCCAATACATATTTATTAGAAAGGCTAATTAAGAAGGGGTGCTTGGGTGCTCAGTCGGTTAAGCGTCTGACTCTATTTTGGCTCAGGTCTTGATCTCACGGTTCTTTAGTTGGAGGCCTGCAGTGAGCTCTGTGCTGACAGCGCAGAGTCTGCTTGAGATTCTCTCTCTCCCTCTCTCTCTTCCCCTTCCCTGCATGCTCTGTCTCTCTCTCTCTCAAATATAAATAAATAAACATAAAAAAAGGAATTCTAACATTAAGGGGAAAAAAAAAATGCCAAGTGCTGATGAGGTTGTGAAACAAATGGAATTCTGCTACACTGCTGGTGGGAATGAAAGGTACAGACACTATAAAACAGTCTGGCAGCTTCTTGTATACAGCTTACTATACGACCCAGTAACCTCACTCCCAGAGATTTATAATGGATAAATGAATACTTTTGCCTACATAAAACCTGCACACAAATGTTGATAGCAGTTTTATTCGTTTTGTTGTTGTTCTTTGTGAAAACATTTATATTTAGATTCAGCCAGTTGGACTCAATTTAGATGATTCCAATTTTGTTGGCAATATCCAAAGCATCATAGTTAGAAGCCAGTCGAACATATGCCCCCTTCTCTCCATCAGGCCTGATCAGTGTGTTGATCTCGGCCATGACAATGTCATACTTTCTTCACGTCCTGTTTGATCTGGTGCTTGTTGGCCTTGAATCCACAATGAACACAAGTGTGTTGTTGTCTTCTGTTTTCTTCATGGCTGACTCAGTCAGGGGGAACTTGATGATGGCACAACGGTCAAGCTTGTTTCTCCGGGGGGCAGTGTTTCAAGGATATTTGTGGGGCCTTCAGAGACGCAGTGTCTTGGAATGTCAGAAGGTAGGTGACGTGTGGAAATTCTTTTTTGTATGTGACTGTGGATGCCTTTCCGCATCACATTTTTTTTGGTCTTCAAAGCCTTTGCTTCGGCTGCAGCTTTGGGAAGGGCAAGAGCTTCCTTCTTTGCCTTTGGTGCCATCTTCATGAAACCAATAGCAGCTTTATTAGTAATAGTCAAAAACTGGTAACAACTCCTTCAATGGGTGAATGCATGAATAAACTGTGGTACGTCCATACACTGGAATACTAGTCAGAATAAAAAAGGAGGAACTATTGATATATACTACATGAATGAATCGAAGATTTTGCTGAGTGAAAGAAGCCACTGTCAGAATGTTATATACTACATGATATAATTTATATGACATTCTCAAAAAGGCAAAATTATAGAGATGGAGAAGATATCAGTGGTTGCCAGGGTAAGGGAGGGTTTGACTACAAAAAGGCAGCATGAGAAATTTTCTGGGTGAGGCAACTGTTCTGTATTTTGATTATGGTAGTGATTACATGCATCTATACATGCATTAAAATTCATAGAACTTGGGGCGCCTGGGTGGCGCAGTCGGTTAAGCGTCCGACTTCAGCCAGGTCACGATCTCGCGGTCCGTGAGTTCGAGCCCCGCGTCAGGCTCTGGGCTGATGGCTCAGAGCCTGGAGCCTGTTTCCGATTCTGTGTCTCCCTCTCTCTCTGCCCCTCCCCCGTTCATGCTCTGTCTCTCTCTGTCCCAAAAATAAATAAACGTTGAAAAAAAAATTTTTAAAAATTCATAGAACTTTACACAAAAAAAGAAAGTAATTGCATTGTCAATTTAAAAATTAAAATAAAAATTTATTGTATCAAGGTTTCAATGTCAAAATAAGAATAGACGCTTGGCAATTAGGTCTATTACCAAATCATCTTTTGCAGGCTAACTAACACTACAAAATAATCAACAATTTCCAGATCCTAACAACACGTTCCTCAAGTACCATAACCATAATCTAACTTACTACCCTCACGTAATTGGAGTGCTTTCAGTGCCAATTTTTAGTAAGAGGTACTTCTTCACTGAGATTCTGTTACATATCAATCAACTTGCCCACCAATATCAGACTAATAAAATAGAGAAGGATGTGCCTCACTGGTAAAACAAACAGAAACTTTTATCATTATCAAGTCTAGGCCATGTCTATGCCAACAAAACCAACAAGATGATGTGACTTCATTCATTCATCTTCCAAAGATTTACCAAGCTCATACTAAACCCAGGCCCTGTGAGAATAAAAGTAAGTGCTGAGTCTACCCTCCAAGGAGTCAATCAACACAGAAAATAGAATGGCTCTATGAAAACCTTCTCAACAGTTGAAGAACCACAGAGCATGTGATTAACTAAGAACCAAGAACTATGATCCATTGGATTCTAATAACCAAGGCTATCATCTTTCTCTGCAACTGGAGATGATAAACATGATGTTGGGTATATCCAGCCCAGGTGGTTTTCCTCGTGCCATGGTAAAGTATTAAGTGAAGTTGGGAAAAGTAGGTGGAAATCCTCAGGGTGGATTTTGATATCTAGGCAGACAAATAGTTAAGCTGATTTGTGGCTAACATCATGGTCTCTGCAACCAAGTAAACCAAGTTCAAATCCTGCCTCTACACCTTCTTAGACGTTAATTCTTTGGGCAAGATATTTAACCTCTCTGTGTCTTACGCTCTTCATATGAAAACTGTGTATTATAGTAACACTTTTTCACAAGGTTGGAGGCACTAAATATCAAAGTCCTAAGACGGGTGCCTAGCATATAGTACCTATTTAATAAGCTTTGCTTATCAGAGTTCACAGAGCACAGTCAAGATTTGAAGTCTCTGAGGCTAGTTAGCTTCTGTCTTCTACATCCCAAATTATACTCTGGTCAACTTATCTTATTCTTAAAAATGCATATTACTGGCCATAAGGTCAATATGGGAAAATAAGTAAAACCTAAGTCCTACAGGTAATGGGTAAGCAATTTAGTTACCAAATACAAAGAGTACACAATGTGTATATTCTCTACAGAGATCTTTCCAAAGTGAAAACTACATTTGGAAATATTCTGGACGTATGTGAAGAAAAGATAACTGAAGTGACCAGATTTTCCCCATACACTGGTCATGCTCCAATCCATTCTACCAAAGGAAGATGAACTTACCTTATCAGCAACATCCACCCTGGCCTTGCGATTAAGCAAGAAATCCACCGAGGATAAATGATTCGCCCCCACCGCAAAATGCAGGGCTGTGCGGTTCATCTGAGGAAATGTAATTTGTGTTTTCAGTCATCTGATTGTTATTTGTCCTCTTTATGATTCCTGTTTTTCAAACAGCCATAATTTTGTATCTTATGTTTATATTTGCATTGCATAACTCATCATTGATTTTAATAGTATAATGGATTTCAATAAAAAAGTAAAACTTGTGGGGGGCCTGAGTGGCTCAGTTGGTTGAGCACTGGTTAAGGTCATGATCTCACAGTCTGTGAGTTCTAGACCCACATTGGGCTCTCTGCTGTCAGCACAGGGCCTGCCTCAGATCCTCTGTCCCCCTCTCTCTCTGTCCCTCCCCTATTCTCAAAAATAAACATTTTTTTAAAAAAGCAAAAGTATTTCTCCCTGTATTCGATTATTAAAAAAATTTTTTTAATGTTTATTTATTTTTGACAGAGAGACAGAACATGAGCAGGGGAGGGGTAGAGAGAGAGGGAGACACAGAATCCGAAGCAGGCTCCAGTCTCTGAGCTGCCAGCACAGAGCCTGATGCAGGGCCTGAACTCACATTCATGAGATCATGACCTGAGCCAAAGTCGGATGCTCAACCGACTGTGCCACCCAGGCGCCCCTCCCTATATGCAATTATTAACAACAGTAATTTTTTTCTGGTTAGAATACATTGATAATGCAAAAGAAAAATTTTCCTGGGTGTTCAATTGTATATGCTCTTTCTTCTGAAATTTTTTGATCTATAAATTTTACTGAAACAAACTGCTTCAGAATAAAAGAAAGAAGAGAATGAATGAATGAATGAATGAATCAATGAAAGATGCAGACACAGAAAAAGAAAGCTATAACTATCTTTTGTTTCCAAGAAAAGCCAAGAAGGCACTCCTGGGATTTTCATAGTTGATTGTGTTTCAGACAATGGATGTTTAGCATGCATCTAAAACACAGATCTTATTTCCTATACTCTAGGCACTGTTTTTGCATCCAAAGAAGGTGCCTGCGCGTGGATTTACTCCTTTGTTTCAAATAAATAATTTATTGCAAAAATTAAGTATCTGATATCCTTGGTAGCTAAGCTGATGATAAGTTAAGTTTGACAAAACATGAGTTATCGTGACACTGTCTGCAATCTAGAGCTGTGTTCTAGTATGTCAAGCCAAAACAGCATCCAAGATAATTCAATAAAACCATTTACATGTATTTCTTCATCTCTATCGTCACAGATTTTAAGCAACTCTACAAACAACCATATCAACAATTTGCTGTAAATGGGACTAAAAGAGATGTCATTAGAAAGTATAATACAGGGCACCTGGGTGGCTCAGTTGGTTAAGTGTCCGACTCTTGGTTTTGGCTAAAGTCATGATGTCACAGTTGGTGAGATTGAGCCCCGCGTCAGACTCTGTGCTGATAGTGCGGAGTCTGCTTGGGATTCTCTCACTCATTCTCTCTCTGCGTCTCCCCTGCTTGTGCACATGCGCAGGTATATACTCTCTCATTCTCAAAATAAATAAATAAACTTAAAAAAAGTAATACAATTCATCAAGAGGTCATGATAATTTGCTATGCTGACTGTAAGTTAAGGTGCTCTAGGTTGTGCCCTAAATGATGCTTCATTTAGCATTAAATCTCTCTAAATACTTTAATATAAAAATATGGTTTAAAATATCATAAAGTCTTATGTGAAAAAAATTTTAATTATTATGAAAGTACATTAAAGAATCTATTCCCTGCTACTTGGAAAAATGATTATTGCTTTACTTACTCAACAATTTATGTAGATATTACTTTCAAAGGCCCTTGCTTTTCTTTTCACTCCCTTCCCTTCCTTCTTTCCTAATTCCTTTTTTTTTTTTTTTTTTTTTTTTGGTTTTTGTTTTTGTTTGGTTCCTAAAATTGTTACGCTGCAAAACTCTATTTTTCTACTCTTTCTAGGATGTCTATGGACAATAAATACTAAATACAACCATAACACATCAGACACACACATGCACACAGTATATACACAGACATATGAATTTCCATATACAAGCAAACATATACCTCTCACAGACACACATGCTCAACTGGTAAACATCCTTCCACTGCGTATGATACATGACTTCAATTCTTATGATCTCACTGCCTGGGACAGATCCAGGTTTTGTGGAACCTAAACTCTACACTCTTCAGGGAGCTCTCTTTAAAGCCAGTCAGAGAGCTGAATTGATGGCAGTTAAAGTTTCTTACTTTTTCAGATTAAAAAAAAAAAAAACATATAACCATGAGAACACATTGCCAGAGCCCTCCCCAGTACCTTGGAAGGGGTCTGTACAAGAAGGGACCCTAAAGCTTATGCTTCATTTAGCACTAAATCCACCTCTGCTATCCCCTTGAACCACTTGCACTAATTGTCCTAAGTAATTAACACAGCCCCCACTTTGATAAACCTTGCCTTGAAAAGCTGTCAGGAAATCTCTACAAAACCAAGCAGTAGGAAATCCAGTATTTCTGGCAGTGGACTTCTCTCCTAAACCCAAGTACTTGAAGAACAATTAAGAGCCAGGTTTTAGAAAAGGCTCCAGTGCCCAACATGCAAATGCACTGTACTTCTAAAGCAATAAAATACAAAGCCAAGCTCTCCCTTAGATTTTAAATTTGCAGGACTGAACAACAAAGGGAATCTCTGGAGAAAAACCAATGATGAACTGTGTAGCAAAAGATGTTCTGCCTTTCCAGAATGTATGAGGCCAGTGATACACAGGCTACAATCCAGGACCAAGTCCAGGCCCATAACCCTGACAACTGGCTTTACTGCCCACCCACAGATTTTGCACAGATGCACACAAAGACTCTGTGTATTTCCCCTCTGATAAGATATATTAAAAGACTCAGAACCTATCCCACGGCTTGATTCCACCTTTAGCTTAAACATTCTGGAATTACCACCGAAGGAGCTAGCCCACACCTCATCCGCCACAATCATTTCAATTGTTATTATTATTTAAATTGCACTGTATAAATCCAAGCCACCCTTAGAGTGGTCACTTGTCACATCTGTGACTTGTACTCACATTGTTCACAGCATTAATGTTAACCTTCTTTTCAAACAGCTTCTCCATAAGATCCAAATTATTGCTTTTTGCAGCATTCTGAAAGCTTCTCTCATTTGGCAGTACTGAAAGCAAGCAAGCAAAGCATGACTGAAGAATTTAAGGGGGACGAAGGAAAAAAGCAAACCTCACGCAAACCTGGTAACTTTAAATAAAAACAGCCTTCACCCTTTCACATTCTACTATTCTGGACATGAGAACTTTGTATCAATATTTTGCAAAGCTGTATTATCAAGACTCCACTTTGTGCTCACAATGCAAGTATTTTCACACCCTTAAAAATATTTCCTGGTCCCAAACAAAACATCATTCCCAAGGACCACCCTGAAGTCAGCAATGTGGTCGCTGCCTCTAGGAGATCGGAGTGTGGCCACAGACTTTGTTTTGTTTTGTTTTGTTTTGTTTTAATAAAATGTTTGTAAAAGATGAGACAGGCAGGAGCCCAAATGCTCCATACAAGCTTACAGAGATAAAATTGTCTGCAGAAGCCTGTGCAGATGCCAGGCCAGCAGAAAAAAATCCTTAAAATGTAGCACATCACATAAATATACACAAAGTCTAAAAGGGATGAACATGTTTCATTTATATAAAAAGAGATTCACACCTACTATAAACACTACATATCACACACATAATACACATTCAGGTGGCAGGTTTTATTAACTAGCCTAGGGAAGATTTCAGAATGTATTAAGTTTTTGTTTTTTTTTTTATGCTCTCTCATTGTTTCTTTTTTTTTTATGTTTATTTTTGAGAGAGAGAGAGAGAGAAAGAGAGAGAATAAGGGGGGGAGGGGCAGAGAGATGGGGACAGAGGATCCAAAGAGGGCTCTGTGCTGATGGAAGTGAGCCCTATGTAGGGCTCAAACTTACAAACCGCAAGATCATGACCTGAGAGGAAGTCAGAGGCTCAATCGACTGAGCCACCCAGTTTTTTTAATGTAGGGGAACTGGAGGGCTCTCAGGGGACAACCCCAATACTGGGGGATAAAGTCACAATTAATAATATGAAAAATGATATCAAGAATGAATGATATGAAATCAGCAATAGACCATCTCTAAAAAAAAAAGAACTCTCGGGCTTGCGGCTTAGTCGGCTAAGCGTCCGACCAGCTGGTGGTTCCATCTCGTGAGTTCGAGCCCCGCTGTCAGGCTCTGGGCTGATGGCTCACTGGAGCCTGTTTCCCGGCTCCTCTGTGCCCCTCTCTGCCCTCACTGCTCATGTTTGCCCCTCTCTGTCCCAAAAATAAATAAACGTTGAAAAAAAAAATTAAAAAACAAAAACAAAACAAAAAAAAAACTCTGGAGGAGGTTTTGTGGATGTGTTGCCAAGTAGTTTCATAATAATAATAACAACAACAACAACACAATTTGACAAAGACTTAAAAAAAATTTTTTTAATATTATTTATTTTTGAGAGACAGAGACAGAGAACAAGTGGGAGAGGGGCAGAGAGAGAGGGAGACAAAGAATCTGAAGCAGACTCCAGGCTCCGAGCTGTCAACACAGAGCCCAATGCAGGACTCAAACCCATGAAGCACAAGCTCATGATCTGAGCCGAAGTTGGATGCTCAACCAACTGAGTTACCCAGGCACCCCTGTCAAAGACTCTTTAGAGTACTACCAAATCTAATCAAAGACTAGGAGTATCTTCACGGGAGAAACACACATTCATTTTATCACCTGGATCCCCCTCTTCCTTTCTACTCTGCCTGTTATCCCCACTCTAAGTAACTTCAACATCCACACAGATGACAAATCTGACCCTGACTCTTTCACTTACAATAATCTTTCCATCCACCTGATCTCAGTCACCCATTTTTCAGGGTCATACTCTTGACATCATCATCAGAAACCACATTACCTCTGACATCTTCAAGAAACTCATTATCTGACCACCACCTCATCCATCCACCTCACCTGCTCTACTTCTTCTAGTCTCCAAATTCTGCAACCTCATCAAGTCCTCCCATCCACTGTTCTCACCAGCTTTTCATATTATTCATCCCTTAGGCCCTTACTCTGCTCTTTACTCAGTTTAGATCTTCTAGTCCATCACTGAAATCACTTCTATACAAACACCTTTACTTCCCTTGCCACTCTCTTTTCTCATCAGACTAGCTGACAGAATCCTAATTCTGACATTAAACTCAACTGCTACCTGTTCCACCTCTGCACCTGAGCAGCTGAACAGTACTGGAGAGAAACACACCACCATGGTGCGGGAGACGTGACTAGTGTTCATCACTATCTAGTTCTCCTCTCCTTTCTGAACACATGGGTAAGTACACATCCTGGCCTGGGTGCAGTTAAGGTGAGGTCTGTCCCCTGGAATAGAAGAAGAGGGGATAGTAGGTTACTTGGGGCTGAGCAAGTGAAAAGCTTCTGTGACACCCTCCAGGTGCTCTCTTCCCATTTTATCAACCCTCAAAGCCATGTGTTTAAACGCTGCTGTGTTGTAGCTGAACTGTATTCCCTCAAAATTTATCTACTGAAGTTCTAACACCCAGTACCTCAAAATGTGACTATGTAGGGTCCTTTTTTTTTTCAAACATTTGTTTATTTATTTTGAGAGAGAGAGAGAGAGAGAGAGGATGAGCAAGGGAGTGGCAGAGAGAGAGGGAGAGAGACAGAACCCCAAGCAGGTCCCCCACTGTCAGCACAGAGCCAGATGTGGGGCTTGATCCCATGAACTGTGAGATCATGACCTGAGCTGAAACCAAGAGTTGGACGTTTACCCAACTGAGCCACCCAGGCACCCCTGGTGATAGAATCATTAAAGAGGTAATTAAAATGAGGTCACTCGGGTGGGGCCCAATCCAATATGACTGGTGTCCTTCTAACAGAGGAAATTTGGAACAGACATGACACAGGAAAGACCATGTGGAGACAGTGGGAGGAGATGGCTATCTACAAGCTGAGGAGAGAGGCATCAGGGAAAATTAAGTCTGCTGACACCTTGATCTAGGATTTTTAGACTCAAAAACTCTGAGACAAATTGTTGTTGTTTAAGCCACCCTACCTGTGGTACTTTGTTACAGTATCCCTAGCAAACTAATACAAGGGGTCATAAGATGGCAGTGCCTCAATTAGTTTGGCACTGGGAGACAATTCTCCACAGGTCTCTTATGTTTCTCTGTATCTGATAAGCAGAAGCACTGACTGATTTTGCTCTAGACCATCTTTTCCAGAATGTGTGCACAGTGAACTACATCAGAAAAGATAGATAAAAATGCATCTCTGGAGCATGGGGCTGGATTGCTTATGGCTTGCCTTAAAAGACAGACAGAGAGAGAGTAAGGCATGCTTCCTGCCCATTAGAAAAGATTTGGATTCCCTAAGTGCAGGATTCTTCTGTAACACAACCCAAGGGGCTTTGCATCTCCTTGGAGATGGGGCTTGCAGAAATGACACAAACGCTGACACGCTGGCTACTGCTCCTACTGTGAGCACTACAATCCTCTGTGTCTGATCGGAAGTGTCTTCTGCTAGCATCCATGATGCCATGGTAGGCTAACTTGTTAGCTTGCAAGTAGAGTAAAATCATGGCCTCTTTACAGTTCTTGACACATAGGTTCCTGAGAAACTAGGTAGAGCAGAAACCCTTCTGTTGGACATGTTGTCTGAGCAAGAGTAGATCTTTATTATATTCAGTCACTCAAGACTTAGGGGTGATTTGTTGCTGCAGGAAAATCTGGTTTATCCTGACTACACATGCTAACATACTACCCATAAATAACATACTCCTAAATTCTTACCCATTAATCTCATGTAGGATCTTATCACAGCAATCCTACTTCATTTCCCTAGGCTTCCATTTTTCAATTCCATGACTTTTTCTTTCTTTTCAAATATTTTAATCTACTAATTTGCCTACTTTAGTATCCATGATCACCAATATGTAACTCTCAGTTAATAATAGTGCATAGAGAAAACATAAGCAATTAGATAATAATTTCCATATTTTCTCACCCCTGAGTCTACCAACCTACCTACCTACTTTTACACCCACACTTTCTGCTTTTACTACTCTTACACTCAATGAAGCAGCCCTATGACTACCCAAGGCCAACCGCTCCATTGGGCTCTGGATCCCACCCTTCTCGTCTTTTCAATTATTTCATGTATCAATCTCACGGAAATTACCCCATTCTCCTCTGCATTCTCCAGTGGACCATTCCCCTCAACATATACAGAGCTGCTATAAAACCTTCAGTGAAAAAAACATTCTCTTAACTTCACATCCTTTCCAACTGCCACTCCATTTCTTAATCTCCCATTGCTCCCCAAATTCTTATGTGTTCTATAACCACTCTCCTCCTCCTCACCTGTTTCATCTCACCTCCATGCTAATCAGATCTCATTCCTATCACTTCACTGAATCTGTGCTTATTAGGGTCACTCGATCTTGCCCAAAGCCAGTCATCACTTTCTTTGTGTGCATTAAACTCTTGACAGATTTGACCAAGGGCCATACCATCCTTTTAACATTCTTCTCCATGCCTCTGATAGACTACCTCCTGTTTTCCAGTCTCTTTTACTGGCTCTTCCTCCTTTGCTTGATCTCTAAATGTTGGAGCACTCTGGAGTTTTTACAAAATTAAGAACATGGTGGAGTAGACATTATCACTGCCATCTTCCAGATGAGGAAAATGAGACTTAGAAAAGTTAAAACACTTGCTCATGTCTTAAAGACAATAAATGATAGAACTATTCCAGGTAGTCTGAATCCAAACACCAAGCTTGCAGTCACTGCAGAGGTCCAGGGTGTCCATATGAAACTGTATTACTGAAGTGGAGATTCAAACTGCTTACTCTATCAGATGCTTTAGCTAATGTATTCTGTCAGTTAAACCAGACTTTTCTCAACTCTGTCCTTGATCCCACATGGCCCTGACACTAGCTCCTTGCCCCTATGTATTAATCCAATGGGAGTGCAGTTCTAGTTCTGGGTCTTTTCCCTCCTGGGTATGTCCCAGGGCAAATCAAGACCTTGTGATGTCCTGAAATATGGCACACACATTCTATTCTGTCCATGAAGTCAAATACCTTGTCCCTTTTCTCCTACATCTATAAGAAAAATTAATTTTGAGGCAACTTCTAAGACCAATTGGAAGCACCATGCAAGATTCTTAATCCATTAAATCAATGGTTCTTAACTCAGGCTTCACAATAAAATAAACAGGATCCCTTTAAACTTTTTTTTTTTAATGTTTCATTTATTTTTGAGAGAGAGAGACACAGAGCATGAGTGGGGCAGGGGCGGAGAGAGAGAGGGAGACACAGAATCCAAAGCAGGCTCCAGGCTCTGAGCTGTCAGCACAGAGCCTGATGCAGGACTTGAACCCACAAACCATGAGATCATGACCTGAACTGAAGTTGGATGCTTAACCAACTGTGCCACCCAGGCGCCCCTAAACAGGATCCCTTTAAAAAAAAAAAACCCATGCCAGATTCTTAAACCCAAGCCAACTACATGGGAATTTCTAGGGCTCAAAATTTTTGCTGACTTGCCCACAATTTACTAATTAAGTAAGCTTGTAACAATTCTGAATTTTTACATTCAAATGTAAAATGGATATTATAAAACCTACCTTTAGCAGTATGAAGACGCCAGTTTGTACAGACTAATAAACTGGCTGTATCCCTTCCCAATGAAAAAACTGTAGCTTTAAATCAGTTATGGTGAAAGTATTACACAAAGGAAAGTGGAAAATACTTCAAATCAGAACTAGTCCCCCCAGAGAGCTGGTAATTAAACATTTACCAACACACCATTGTCTACCTTCCAGCTAGTAAGTGACAGAGTTGAAAAAATGATCGATACAAATCATAAACATACCAATTTTCAGCTTGGCTAAGTAATATTTAGAGTACTGTGCTATATATGTCTTTTTTTTTTTTTTTGGAAATGGATAAGATCAAGGAAATGTTAAATGTTCAGCACCAAGCAACACATTACACAGAGCTGTATCATTCACTTAAACTTTTAGGGGTCAAAAACTCTAATGCCTTCAAAATTTGGGTAAGTATGAAGCAAGAGGGCCAAAACAGGAGGAGATAATGCTGAGATAGAAAAACAAGCCTCCTGCATTTCATTCAGGTCTCTGCTCAAATGGTACCACTTCTGAAAAATCATGTCTGACCATCCAAACCCCTGTCTCCCGTCATTCTCTGCCCCTGTGCCCTACTTCACTTTTTCTTCATATCACTTGATACTACTCGACATTAATATTACATTTGTTTACTTTCTCAGTATCTGTTTCCTTCACCAGAATACAATATCCACGAGGAAGCTGAAATAAGTCCAGTACCTAGTGCTAATAGGTGTTCAATAAATATTTGCTAGATGGGTGGATGGGAGGATTGGGAAGCCACCATCTACCTCCAGAACAATATTACCAAGGGTAGTATGCTCAGTATTAACAAAACTTCCAATTTCTCATACATACATATAAACCACATATGAAAGAGGAAAACCCAAGAGAAATTAGAAAATATTTTGAACTGAATAAAAATAAAAATAAAATATATCAAAATGTGTGGGATGCAGCTAAAGCAGTGCTAAGAGGGAAATTCATAGCATTATAAGAGGGAACTTCATAGCATTAAGTTATTAGAAAAGAAGCTTGCAAATCAGTAATGTAAATTCCTACCTTAAGAAAGTAAAAACCTAAAAGCAAAAAACACCTAAGTCAAGCAGACAGAAGAAAAATTGCAAAGGTAAGAGCAATAATCAATAAAATTGAAAAAAGATAAACAATAGAGAAAATCAATGAAAACAAAAGCTGCTTCTCTGAATACATCAATAAAATCGATACACCTCTAGCAACACTGACCAAAAAGAGAGAAAGAGAGAGAACACACATTACCAATGTAAGGAATGAAAGAGAGCACAGCACTACCGTTCCCACACACATGAAAGGAATAAGGGAATATTATGAACAATTCCATTCACATAAATTCAACAACTTAGATGAAATGAAATAATTTCTCAAAAATCACAAACTACCCAAATTCATTCAAGATTATATAGATAACCTGACACAAGAAGAGGAAAAACTTCCCAACTCATCTTATGAGATCAGCATTTCCTTGATTCTACAACCAAAGACATTATGAGAATAAAAAACTACAAGCCAATATCCCTCATAAACATCGATGCAAAACTCTCTGAACAAGCATTATCAAAACACATCCCGTGATACACAGAAAGTTTAACACACCAAGTAAGGTTTATCCTGAGAATGTAAAATTCGTTCCTTATTTGGAAATCAAGCAATGTATATACAGGTAGTCTAAAGAAGAAAAATTATATGGTTAATTGATGCAGAAAAAGCATTTAAAAAAAATCATCATCCATTTATGATTAAAAACAAAAACCAAAAAACCCTCTCAGCAAACTGGGAATAGAAGGGAACTTCTTCAACCTGATAAAGAGCATTTACAAAAAACTAACAGCTAACATTCTACTTACTCATAAAAATGTCAATGCTTTCTTTACCCAGGAACAAACAGAAATGTCCAGTCTAACTCTTAAACACAGTGCTGGAAGTGTTAGCCAGGACAACAGAGCAGTAAAAGTAGATTAAAACGCATACTGATTGGCAAGAAATCGAAATGTCTCTAGTCTAGTTGCAAACAATTTTATTATCTGCATATAAAATCCAAAAGAATGTATAAAGCAGCTCTAGAACTAATAAGTGTGTTTAGCAAAGTTGTAGGATACAAGGTCAACACATAAATATCAACCATCTTTCTATATACTGGCATAAACAAATGGAAACCAAAATTTAAAAATAATACCATTTTAAAAATTATAATTAAAATGATCAAAAATCAAAATACTTAAAAGTATATAAATCCAACAAAAGTTCCAGTTTCTCTAATACCAAAAAAACACAAAATACTGATGAGAAAAATTAAAGAATACCTAAATAAATGAAGATACATGATGTCATGAATTGGAAGATGTAATAAAGATGTCAATTATATGAAATTGACCCATAGATTTAATGCAATTCAATCAAATGCCAAAAGGATATTTTGTAGCTACAGACAAGATGATTCTAAAACCTATATGGACAGGCAAAAGAACTAGAATAACCAAAACAATTTTGAAAAAGAAGAATAAAATTGGAAGAGTCACAATACTTATTATAAATCTACAATAATCAATACAGCATGGTATTGGCAGAGAAACACACAGATGGACTGAACAAAATACAGAGTCGAGAAATAAACTCTCACAAATATAGCCAGTTGATTTTTGACAAAGGTGTAAAGTCTGTGACAGCAGCGAAAGGATAATCATTGCAACAAGTGGTATTTGAACAACTGGACGTCCAAAATGAAACAAAACAAAACAAAACAAAACAAATGAGCCTTGATGTTAAACTTCATTCTTTACACAAAAATTAACTCGAAATAGATCATAGAGGAAAACGTAAAACATAAAACTATAAAACTTTTAGAAGAAGACACAGGAGAAAAACTTCCTAAAATGGGGTTAGGCTATGTGGCCTCCGCAGTAATGATCACTGCTTTAAAATAACTTCTTATTCTGTTACTAATTTTTTCGTCTATCAACCCTCCACCAAAACCAGAAGGGCTGTCATGCTCCGACTTCATACTCATCTAAAATATGTCCAGTAAGTAGTAAGCTCTTGAAAATATTTCTAGAATGAATGAATGGACAGATGGACGAACTAAATAAACATTATTAAGGAACTGGTGCTCTGTTAACAGTCTGGAAATCATTCTCAACTTTTAAAGATTCTTGAACAATCTCAGTTTATGCTATAAATTTAATCTCAAGGCACAAAAGACCCATCCCATGCTTTCAAACACCTAAGCACAGAAAGATTAAGTGATTTGAAGTCACACAATAAATCATTGCATGAGTCAGGATATAGGAGATAACAGCATATAAAACTCTTTCCGTATTTGCAATAGGGCGTAATTATTTAAAAAACAAAACACACACAAAAAACCCCAAAAACCAAACACTCTTCCTTAAATTGAAAGAGCAACTCTTTCCTTCCATCCACAGTAGAGGCTTCACCTGAAATAAAACAGTCTGAGCCAAAACTTGGGTGGGCAAACTAGCCCACAGGGGCTGCGGGGGCGGAGGGTGGGCGCCCAGCCTCGAGTCCTGAAGCGCCCACTAGGCGCCGCCACCGCCACGTTTGCGCCCAGCGTCCTGGAACTCACGGATCTCGTGTCCCGCCGCCGCCTCCTCTCGGGGCCCCTCATGCTTCGGGATCCAGGGTCGGACCACCGCGCCCCTCAGATCTTCCCGAAGGCCCTTCGCGGCCGCGGCCGCCCCTCGCAGTAGCTCTCGCGCCGCCGCCCGGCGACCCGGGCTGCTTCGGGCGGGGTCCATGTGCGCCCCCGCGGGGGGTGGGGGGCGCAGCGCGCGAGCGGGAAGGCTCGGTCGGGCCGCTCTGTGGCTCTCGGTTCTGGGTGGTCTCGGGGCCGCTTGCCCCGCGTTTTCCTGCGCAGCCCAGAGCGGCCGCCTGGGCGGGTCTGCCTGCGGGTGCGGCTTGCACCGTCTCAGGATTTGTTTCACCTGAGGTGAAGCGCTCTGCGAAGACGCCCAACTCACACTTGGGTGCTTCGTACAACTTTGAGAAACGTCGAGGCTGGATTTGTAACCAACACTTAGAACTTCAGTATTAAATCACTCCTAAATGGGCTTCCAGAATTTTCCTTGGAATAAAGTCTCTCAGTTTCTTCTCCCAAACCTTGGTATCCCATTTTAATGCAGTCGTGAGCTGTTGGACTCCCCGTCTTGGGTATTATTTCTTAGCGGTTTATAAAATTGATCCGGTAGAGTAATCTATTCAGGACAACCGTGTGCCTAGCTGAAATTCTAGTAATAGTGAAGAAAAACAGAGTATTGGAGGACAACCGGAACTTCTGCCCTGAATCCACAGCACCTGAGCACAGTGGGTTCAACGGGTTACAAAATAAAACCAAACAAAACAATGGCACATCTCACATTAGCACATTCTAGGAGTGAAAAAAAACCCAAAAACCTAAGTCCTCATAAAACAGAACTAGATTTGACCCCAGAACTGACCCACCTTTTTACACGCATGCGCGTGCGTAAGCTCGCGCACACGCACACACGCATAAGAGAGCATTGTCTATAAAAATGCACAAGATGATTTAAAGAGAAATAAGCTAATGAAAAAAATGTAAAGAAGTGGACATTTTCAAGAGGTCTTACAAGGGTAGACAGATTTCAATAGACAAGGGTTTGGTAGAGGTTGTGTGTGTGTGCACACATATCTAAGGTATGTATATCTATGTATATGAATGTTTTAGGAGTTTGAAATCATAATAAAAAGAGACGGGTTAGAAGTAAAGCGTTAACACTATTTGCCTCTGAATTATCTTCAGTCTCGCTGAGCAACAATTAGAAATTACATCACATTTGTAAGAACAGTTCAATATTATGGTTTGCTTAACAAATGGAATGTTTCCATTACTCACCATAATAGCATTTGAGTTTTTCTTGAACAACTGTTAATCCAACTGTTTTGCTCTGCATTACAAAGCAAAAGTGATTATCCCTGAATTATACAACAAAAGAACAGTTTTTGCTCCAGGGAAGTAAACTCCATTGCTCTGTGAAGTTCACTAAAATCCTACCAGCACCAGGTATGTTCAAATCTATTACCACTTTTCAAAATGGAATATTACTTAAAAAAAAAAAAAAATCAGCACTAGGCACCAAGTATGGTTTTCAAAATGGAATATTTCCTCAAAAAGCATTTTTTTAAGCCTTAGGTTAATAGTAACATTTGGAGCCTTCTTCCAAATACTTCCAAGCCACCCAAAAGGCCACACACAGTGATAAAACATTTATAACGCAAGCCAATGTCCAATAAAGGAAAAGAAACACAATTCCTTCTTTCTGGAAGGCCCATCCCTTAGAGCCCAGCTTGAGTGCAGCCACTTACATCAGCCACCACCTGTCTTCCCAGAGAAAAACAGTAAGATAGTAATAGACACCACTCTTTGGTTACATATTATTTATTCATTTATAGGTCATCAAATGATAGTAGCACTAAGCGCCACGCCATATACTTCACACCTAGAATTTGGAGATCAGTGAAGACAGCCTAGGATCTCTAGCAATCTGCAGTCTAGTGGGACAAGACCACAGCAAAGCCATAATGAAGAATGTTTCAGTGTCCTCATAGAGAAATGGAAGCACAAAGGGATGACTGATCAGCTTTTCCAGAGGGCAGGGCCCTCTCCTGAAAGCAGCCCCTGGACTGAGTTGAAAGATGAGTAGTTGTGAATGGTGGGAGACAGCAAAAACACATTCAGGAAGCACATTCAGGACTGAGGGAGCAAGCTTCATACCAGAGGGGAGAAATAGCTTGGTCTATTCAGGAAACTATAAGCTGTGCAGTCGGACTTGAATGGCTTTGAATGCCACGCCTATGTTTGGAGTGTATCATGGAGAATGATATGTAGCAGCTAGCTTGTACTGGCTTGCAGGATCAGATTGTTAAATTTTCAGGAACTTTGTGAATTGGTTTTTTATTATGATTTTGGGTCACATATGAACAAGTGTGTATAAAATACGTATGCACAGCTTAAGGAATTTTTTTAATGTTTACTTATTTATTTTGAGAGAGAGAGTGTGTGTGCAAGTGAGCAGGGGAAGGGGCAGAGAGGAGAGAGAATCCCAAGCAGGCTGTATGCTGTCAGCACAGAGCCTGATGTGGGGCTCGACCCCACAAACTATGAAATCATGATCTGAGTCAAAATCAAGAGTGGGACGCTCAACCTACTGAGCCACCCAGGTGCCCCTAAAGAATATTTTTAAAGGCAACCTCCATGCAATCAACCACCCAAGAAATGGAACACTGATAGTATCCCAGCAGCTCTATGTACCACTCCCCAGTCACATTTCACTATCTCCCTAGAGAAGAAACCTTTATTCTAACTTTCAGGACAGTAACATACTTGCTTTTCTTAGTAATCTGATCTCATATGGATAAATCCTCAACACAACAGTTTTAACTATTTTGCACTGCTTACAAATGTATTCATGCTGATGGCATGCCATGACTTGCCATCTATGACTTACTTCTTTTACTCTAGATTGTTTGTGATATTCATCTACTGTTGGCTTACTGCCTTCATTTTTGCCACTGTATAGAATTGAATTGTTTGAATAGACATGAATATACAATGGTAGGATTAAATTAATATCTGGTTTATTTTCCATTTTTGGCTATTACAGTGCTGCTAGTTTAGCAGGATTCTTACACAGAGTCGTGATACCGAGGCTTTTCTTTCCAGGAGGCAACTTTCTTCATGCTGGCATTGCTCAGTTGGGTTTGTACCTGAAGAACTGAGCCCCGAACGTCACGTGGCATAGTTCTTTACATATTTTTTACTTCTTTGATTAAGTGGTCTCATGTCACAAGGTTGTGAGGGATGTTGTCATGTATGCTTATAGCCAGGTCGCATTGAGGTTGTTTTTTTATTTTCCGTAGGGAGGGGACCCTAGGAGCATTCTTGTACATACTTCCTAAGGAACATGTTCAATATTTTCCCCAAGACATTGTATCAGTTAGGGCTCTGGGCAGGAAAAACGTTTGTATTGTGAGATGAATTTAAGGACCATTTACAAAGGTGTGGGGGAACCACAAAAGATACCGCAGCACCCCAAAACTAATAAGAGCAAGGCTCTGTTGCCACTCCCAGGCTGATGGGGTGAGGGAAGGAAAGGATTATCAGAAACTGAAGAGAGCAGAGAACACAGTATAAAGAAGTTGTGACTAGGGGCACCTGGGTGGCTCAGTCAGTTAAGCATCTGACTTCAGCTCAGGTCGTGATCTCAAGGTTCGTGAGTTTGTTGGGCTCTGCACACTCAGTCTCAGTGCAGAACCTGCTTTGGAACATCTGTCTCTCTGTCTCTGTCTCCGCCCCTCCCTCACTTATGCTCTCTCTCAAAAATAAACATTAAAACAAAAAACACAAAAAAAACAGTTGTGACCTTCGGTCAAGGGACCTAACCTGCTCAAGATGATCATACCAAACTTACATGTGGGAATAAATACCCAACTTCACCTGCTTTCCTCCCTGAAATCTCCTGTAGTGGTTTCCCCATTGCCATGGCCCCTTACTAGACAAAAGCATGGTCAAGGGCCAATAATTTGGCCAGTAATTTGGAGAGCAAATGGAAGAAAACCAACAAAAGTGTTTATTTAGGAGTGCAGTTGCTAGGTTAAGTGTACATATCTTCAAATTTATTGAAGAAGGGCAAACTTTTCCAAAGTGATTGTTTTCAAAAGTAGAGTTTACATTGCTCCACAACATCACCAAAATTTAGTATCATTGGATCTTCTCATTTTTGTGAATCTGGTAGGGATGTAGTGATACTTCTTTGTGGTTTTATTTTTTATTTCCCTATTTCTAAAATGGCTGAGAATTTTTCATATTTCGTGGCCATTTGGACTTCTTTTTAAGTAAAGTGACATTTAAAGTCTTTTGTCCAAATTTCTATTGGCTATCTGTCTCTTTCTTACTAATACAGAGGAGTCATTTTTACCTTCTGGATTATATATTCTGGATACTAGTTTGGGCCAGTTAAATGTGTTGCAAATATGTTCTCTCAGGTGGTTCCCTATGTTCTGACCCTCTAAGTAGATAAGATCATAGGTGGTTATTCTTTGTAGTTTTGCTGTATTTCCTAAAAATACCCCAAAGCAAAATCATAATGAAAAGTAAATAAGTTGGATACATTAAATAGAAGAAAATGTGGAGAGAATTCGGGGCAAAGAGAATCAAAGACAAAGAATCAGAGGTGGGAAAAGAGTAGAAAAGTAAGAAAACCATTTTTATTGGCTAAAAGATGAATGAAACACTTCCAATTTTATTTTAAATTATTATTAAATATTACTAAATGATAACATTCAATTACATGAATCACGTAGCTGAAAATAATTTCATATTTAAAGTTGAAAATACATGGGGCGCCTGGGTGGCGCAGTCGGTTAAGTGTCCGACTTCAGCCAGGTCACGATCTCGCGGTCCATGAGTTCGAGCCCCGCGTCAGGCTCTGGGCTGATGGCTCAGAGCCTGGAGCCTGGTTCCGATTCTGTGTCTCCCTCTCTCTCTGCCCCTCCCCCGTTCATGCTCTGTCTCTCTCTGTCCCAAAAATAAATAAACGTTTAAAAAAAAAAAAAAAAGAAAATACAGTAAAAATAAATCTGAGGCAAGATGGAAAAAAAAGTATGGTACTATTAACTTTTCAAGACATTAAATCAGTGCTTTACTAAACTTAATTTTGTACAGAACTGAGATATATAAATCACATAAGAACTCTGAACTTGCCATAGCATATGATAATAATTAGGCCTGAGACTGGCATAATAAATATAATAATACAATAATTTAAAGTCAGTTACCACTTTGGCCAAAAGCTGTATGAGATTCTAATTTAACCTATTCCTAAAATATTATTTCTTTATAAATTCAGATAATGAGTTATAACATATGAAAAGTAGGAAAAGAGACAACAAAAATATAAGAGGCAAAAGATTCAGTTCTTTAAAGGAGTAACAGAAAATGGCTTCCATTTCATGTTTAAATTAATTGTTTTTTGAAAAAAATTCTATTAATAGCACAAAAGTATTTGCAGTAACTACAATGATCACTATTAAGCTATCTTCTTTCATTAATATTAACAAAAATGTGATAGAAATATAACTAAGATGAATGAGATGCTTTAATACACATTAATCTTTTGAATTACTTCTTTCTAAAGGGTTACAATAAAAATAAAGTGAGCATACAATTTATCCTTTTTTATAGATCTGTGTAAAGTATAAACATAACTGTCAAGAAATGAAATACCACCACTTAAAAGTCCTATACAGAAACTAACACCTTGAATCTTACACTAAATATTGTTAAAGTGAGCCACATGCTTATTCATAAAGGAATTCTAAATAAAAAAATAAAAGGGATAATCAAATTTTAAAGAATTCTTTTAACACAGAAGATAATACTGTGATATCATTTTCCTGAAGATAATGAAACCTTCAGGCTTGTTCTGCCCAGCTAATATTCTTCATAGAACTTAGAATAAATTTTAATTACGAAGGCTCACAAGGTATTTGAATATCCCAGGAGGTAAACTACGAATATATGAAGTTGTAGAAGTTACCAAAATCAAATATAGCAGTCCAATGCCAACAAAGTGGTTAAGTGCTGAAATATTATTATGCTAACATGGTTTGTGAGAACCTCTGAGAGCCCTTATAAATATGTTTTTATATTTATTATAAAATGTAATTATGAAAAAAATCACTTTCTGATTTCATTCCTAATTTCTCATTTTAAAATGATCTGTAACAGGACTGATTTCTGATTGATGTATAATAGAAGTGAAATTCTCTTGGTTATCCAAAATGTGTAAAGAAGTAAACTAGTCTATATTCCAAATTCATATGAAGGAAATGTCATTTGGGAAGGAATTATTGCACTTGTCTTTCACTAAATGAATTTGTAAACTTAATGAAGAACTAGAGATTTGTTGACTATAAAGTAACAAGTTTCAAGTAAGAATAAAATGTTCAATGGTAAAATGTTCAATATTCATTTAAAAAATATATCAAGAGTGTGTCTGGGACGGTTTGGTTTTACTTTCTTTGACGATGAGTACATTCCTGGCCTGGAATGAAAAAGAACATGCAATTAAAATGCAAGAAGATATTTTTTAACTGTTTTGCAAATCACTGATTTTTAAAATTGTAGTTGATTTATAAGAGCAGATTTTAACATTCCCTAAAAATTAGACCTCAAAATATAACAATTTTATAGCCAGCTTTGTTAAAACTCAAATTAGCCATACCTTTTTGTTTTTGTTGCAGTCTTTTGTACTTGGCCTGAGGTATCTTTAGAGGAAAGAAAAGTCAAGAAATTCCATAATGAACAACATGAAATAATTACAAAGCTGTATAAAAATCTAAAGAGGTAAAGCTGACTGATTAAAGATAATAAAAACTTCCTTAGTACTACATAATTTATATGTAGACATACCAGAAACTAACTTTATAGCATTATTTCTTTGTAATTTACTTATTTTATTAGTATACACTTAATTTTATTTTTGAAGTTGAGTTAGACTCAGACTACCAAAAAACAACTTAAAGAGGCTTTCTGGTTGTGTGATTATAGTTAATTTACCACTGTGCCTTGGCAAAAGTTTTCTTAACGAATTTTTCTTTCTTCTTTTTTTAAATTGAGGTATAACTGACACACAGTGTTCTATTAGTTTCAGGTATACAACATAGTGATTCAACAAATGATATGCTGTGCTCACCACAAATGGAGCTATCATCTGTCACCATACAGTACTATTATAGTCCCATTGACTATATTCTCTGTGCTGTACCTTTTATCCTTGTGACTTATTCCTTCCACAGGAATCTCATTTTTTATGAGATCACTTAGCTCCCTGAATTTATGAGTTCGTTCTGTGCTAAATCAAGCCCCAAATGGAGTTTTCCCAAAATGTAAAATCTAATGGCTTCAGTTAATTCTAACCTATGCTAATAAGGTAAATAACATTTTCCTAAATGGCAGCATACACAAACTATCCCTTTAATTGTATATGCTTCATATTTAACAACAATCTCAATTTTAATAAAACATTCCTATATAATCAAGTTCTTTAAAATGACTACAGGGGGCGCCTGGGTGGCTCAGTCGGTTGAGCGTCCGACTTCAGCTCAGGTCATGATCTCACGGGTCCGTGAGTTGGAGCCCCGCATGGGGCTCTGGGCTGATGGCTCAGAGCCTGGAGCCTGCTTCCGATTCTGTGTCTCCCTCTCTCTCTGTCCCTCCCCCGTTCATGCTCTGTCTCTCTCTGTCTCAAAAATAAATAAATGTTAAAAAATAAAAATAAAAAATAAAATAAAATAAAATAAAATAAAATAAAATAAAATAAAATAAAATAAAAATGACTACAAACTCACCAGTACTTTTGGTGCTTTTTGTGGGTTGATTAGCTAGACTATCCTTTCTCAGTTCCTGGATAATGCCTTTATTTAAGCATATATCCACATGCATATTGAACAGGGTAAGATCTGAAGTCTTTTGTTCCAGGTTACAAATAGGACAAACTAGAGCCTGGGTTATTATCACTTCAGGTAAATAAGGCTGGGGGGATTCTTGCTGACTTGACCCCATATCTTCCAGTAAAACAGTAGAGAAAGAATTCTGATAATGTTGCTCAGTATTAAACGATTCTCTTGGAAAAACAGCACATTCCTCTTTGCTGTGCTTATCACTTAAAGCACCTACACTTTCTGCTTTAGGTGGGTTACCTTTAGTCTCTACTAGCTCTGCACAATCTACTGAATTGATTCCTGAATGCTTCTGATGGGTTTCATAATCCTGCTTCTCATGGAGTGAAAAAGAATGATGTACGTTTTCTTTCCTGTTAACTTCTGTAGAGGAAGCATGTGAGCATGAGAACATTTTACGGTCTTCATTAATTGAAGGTCCATCAAGACAGGCATCTACATGTTTATTAAAGGCTTCCAGACTGATGCTTCCTTTCTCCCTAAAGCAAATGGGACAGGTAAATATCTGAGACTTATTTGAATTCTCTGATGTTTCTAAATTCTCGTTCATCTTCTTTAAAACTTGGAATGAATCTGATGTCTGTAAACTTTGTGTATCCACAGCTTCACACTTAAATGTGTCTTGTTGGCTCCATTTCCTTTCTGATCGCTTTTTATCAAAGAAGCTCTTCTTTTGAGACATTTCTAGAGGTTTTAGAAACTGATCTTTGTCAGTTTTCTCTAGCATATGCCCAGTAGCTGACAGAGCTTGGTTTCCAGCCTGTAAAAAGCCAATAATGCTCCTTTGTTGCTGTTTCTTGTCTTCTTCATTGGGAAAACTAGATAACCGTACACCTAAATTAAACCAACGACAATTAATTGCTTAACAAAGCCAATTCACTCATAATGCATAAAAATATTTTGCATAATATTGTTGTGATATATATACAAAAGGCTGTTTAGAGAAAAATAATAAGCAATACTGCATATTTTCTGAATTAAAGGATGAGTTTTCAAAACAGGTACTTTGCATGAAATTTACGTTCCTTTATAAAACTGGGTGTCACTAAATAGTATCTGTTGGGAGTTCACATGATTATATAAGTCTTCCAATTAACATCTGACATAAGTTACCATTAAAGATCAACTAACTGAGGCACCTGGGTGGCTAGTTGGTTAAACATCTGACTTCTGCTCAGGTCATGATCTCACAGTGTGGGTTCAAGCCCTGCATCAGGCTCTGTGCTGACAGCTTAGAGCCTGGAGCCTGCTTCAGATTCTGTGTCTTCCTCTCTCTGCCACTCCCCCACTTGCACTCTGTCTCTCAAAAAATGAATAAACATTAAAAAATTAAAAAAAAAAAAACCCAACTATTGGAGTCAATTTCAAAAACTCTTTAGCTCTTTTTTAGGTTCACAGCAATAGTAAGCAGAAAGTGCAGTTCCTACATATCCTCTGCCCACACCATGCACAGCCTCCTCCAACTGACATATTGTACCAGAGTGGTACATTTGTTACAAATGATGAACGTATAGTGACACAACATTAACACTCAAAGCTCATAGTTTACATTAGGTTCACTCCTGGTGTTGTACATCCTATGGATTTTGACAAGTGTTTAATGATTTGTATCCACCATTATATAATCATACACAATAGTTTCACTGCCCTGAAAGTCCTCTGTGCTAAGTCTATTCATCCCTTCCTCACCCCTAACCCTTGACATACACTGATCTTTTCACTGTCTCCAGTTTTGTCTCTTCCAGATTTCATAAGTTTGAATCAGACAGTATTTAACCTTTCAAACTGGCTTCTTTCATTTACTAATAATAAATGTAATATAATAATATAATTTACATTTAAGGTGCCTCCATGTCTTTTTATGTGCATTTTTGTTTCCAATTTTGGCAATTATGAATGATGCTGTCATTAACATCTGCTCTTTAGATTTGGGGTTTTGTTTTTAGTTTATTTATTTATTTTGAGAGAGAGAGCAAGAGAGAGAGACAGCACAGAAGGGACAGAGGGAGGGAAAGAGAGAATCCCAAGCCGGTTCTGCACTGTCAGCATGGAAGCCCAGGCAGGGGCTCGAATTTCCGAACCATGAGATCGTGACCTGAGCCAAAGTTGGAAGCTTAACTGACTGAGCCACCCAGGTGCCCCGGCTCTTTAGCTCTTTTATTTAACGAACTTTATTCAATCAATTTCAAGTGTGTGCTGTCTTTCATACATGAAAGCATGGCTAATGATCCACTCTTAGCAGTAAAGTTGGCATTTGGAGTGCTTGTCCATATACATCCTCTCACCCAATTCTCTTTAACCTAGTGTGATATTTTCTTGTTTGCTACAAAAATATTAATGTGTTTATCATAAGGTGGTGCCTCAGATACCAAATCAGTATTACAAAACATATGGAGTATATGCACTAAATTCACTTTCATAAAATCTGAAAAGTTTAAAATTCTGAAACATACCTAGCCCGAAGGATTTCACTAAGTAGTAAGGAAAAGAACAACTTTATCTGGTTCTTATGGGGATTAAATTAATGAGCATTGTTCCACCTACATCAGGTTTTAAGAATTAAGAAAAATGGCAGCATAGGTACAAACTCCTCAACAGGTTTAAGAGATAAAACGAAGGAGAGACTATTTCCCAAGTTAATTTATTTGGGAAGGTCTAGCAGATTTAAGGAAAAACAAGTCATACCCATAAGTCTTAATCTCAAGGGATGTGGAAAATCAGCATCAATTTCTGTTCTTAGCAAGTCTTTAGCAATAGCAAATATTTCTTCTGCAGTAGAAACAACAGATGAAACTGTAGATGCACGAGTTTTTACTTCAAAATTTACATTCTTCAGTTTAATGGTAACAGTTCTACCCTGCAACAAACAGAACATTGTTACATATGGCTTTCTAACTTCTAGAAAAAAGTTAATTTGTAGGTTACAAAAATTTAGAAAGATCTCTTAAATACACATAATATAGAAGTATAATCAATTATTTATAAAACATGGTAATGGAATCTGCTAAAAAGAATAACTGAAATATCTAAAAATCCCATTTTAGCCAATAATTATTACTCCCCTCACACTTACTGTGTGTCTACTGTATGCTAGATATTATGCTAAACCATTTGCACATAAGAACTCCCTTTACAGTTACTGTTTAATGGGTACAGGGTTTCAGTGTGGGATAATGAAAAAACTCTGGAGATTAATAGTGGTGATGGTTGCACAATATGAATGAACTTAATATGACAGAAATGTAACTTAAAAATGGTTAAAATGATAAATTCTATGTTATGTGTATTTTATTACCCCCTGGAGGTTCTGAGTGTGGGTTGACTTATTAACTCACTTCCAAAGAATAGAGTATGAAAGGAAAAAATAGTAACTTCACAGTGGAGAAGCCTAGCAAACACTAACTTAACCAGGTGACAACGGTTAGTATCATTTATGATACCTTGTAGTTATCATATACCTTGATAGGATGTAACGAGGACAGTTCACTTCTGGTATTCTTTCTAAAAATTCATAACCTGGTCTAATCATTAGAAAAACATCACCCAAACCTGGATGGAAATACATCTTGCAGGATACCCGGCCAATACTCCTTAAGACTGTTAAGGTCATGAAAAACAAGGAAATACTGATAAACTTTCACAGATTAGAGGAGATTGGGAGACACGACAACTAAACACAGTGTGGTTCCCTGGACTGAATCCTGGAACAGAAAGAGGACTTTAATGGAAAAACAGTAAAATCCAAATAATGTCTGGAGGTTAGCCAATAGAAATGTGCTAATGTCAGTTTCTTAGCTTCAACAAATGTACTGTAATAACATAGCTATGATAATACAGGGTATATCAGAACTCTCTATATTATCTTTGCTACTTTTCTTATAAATCTGAGATGATTCCCAAATTACAGGTTTATTAAAACAATTTTTTTTTAAAAATCTTCACACTCAGGTATGATAGAAAAGGATTATAAGATATATAATGTACTTATATAGATATCCCATTCTTTGTAATAACCTTTGTTGTTTTGGGGGTTTTTTTGGTAATAACTTTTGAATACCTTTGTGCTACACTTTGTAAAAACGCCACCTCTGGTTTGAGAGTTTGGAAAAATACTACATATAGATTGTTGTGAGTGAAGGTTATAAAATAGAAATTCAGGGTCTTCAAGGTTTTGTTCTCAGTATGTTAAACAATCTGGAATTCGAGAATTGAAACAAAATGCCTATTTTAGAAAATCGTTGTCTACCTGAGGAAAATATTAAAAGATGGTTGGAAAGACATTTGTAATAAGTAAATACAGTTCTAGGGAAATCATTACCTTTGCTTTATTCTCTAATGCCATTATAAGTCTGATTCTGAACGTATTCAAATGTACTCCTCAAGTAGTATAAACTCTGGAATTATACTGGAGCCAGCCCACCCTCCTAAGTTGTTTCTTCATCGACTGATCTCAGTATAGGCCTCAATTATGGGTCAGAATTGAATTTGTCTCTATTGGGGATACTCTATATTTCTCAATTTATTGAGAAACTGAATTTATCTCTATTGGGGATTACTCTTTATTTATTGGGGATACTCAATATTTCTCAATTTGTACTCAGATGCAAAATCTAACTCTTCCTTTAAGGTAGTATTTTATTATTAAAAAATGTTAAATCTAAGAACACTACATCTAAATAAAGTACCTTTAATCCTTCTTTCTGCAGATCTTGAGCAAGTTCACTGCAAAGTTCCTGGCACAAGCTATATTGTTCTTCTGCTTTACTCATCTCACTGAATGTCCTAAAAAGACAAGAATGATTTTGGTGCACAGAGTAAACTATAATTCAGGATAATTTAGGAATGAGATAGTATGTTTTAATGGCCTGGCATTAAGTTATATTTTTCTGCAGTACAAAACAAAATTTTCAGATGAACTAAGATATAATTAAGAAGAAACATCTAAGATCTACATGAATAATGGGAGATCATTTATAGTTAAACTGATTTCACCTACAGTAGTTTTTTTTAAAAGGAGGTTAAAGTCTGATATATTGCAACAATAAGAGAAGGGATAAAAACTATAAGATCATTTCAGTATCTGCAGAAAAAGCATTTGACAAAGTATGACATCTACTCATGATAAAAAAAAAAAAACTCAACAAAGTAGGTTTTAGAGGGGTGCCTCGGTGTCTCAGTCAGTTTAGTGACCAACTTTGGCTCAGGTCATGATCTCACAGTTCGTGGGATCAAGCCCTGCGTTGGGCTCTGTGCTGACAGCTCAGAGCCTGGAGCCTGCTTCGGATTGTGTGTGTGTGTGTGTGTGTGTGTGTGTGTGTGTGTGTGTGTGTCTGCCTGCCCCTCCCCCATTTGCTCTCTGTCTCTTTCCCTCTCAAAAATAAATAAAACATTAAAAAAATGTTAAGTAGGTTTAGAGGAAACATATCTCAACATAAAAATGCCTTATATGAAAAACCCATAGCTAACATCATACTCAAAGGGGAAGAACTGAGAGCCTTTCCTCTGAAGTCAGGTACAATACAAGGATGTCCACTTTTACCACTTTTATTCAACAAAATACTAGAAGTCCTAGCCACAGCTATCAGACAACAAAAAGAAATAAAAGGCATCCAAATTGGTAAGAAGTAAATCTTTTCACTATTTGCAGAAGACATGATACTATATATAAAAACCTTGAAAGATTCCACTAAAGAGCTACTAGAACTAATAATGAATTCAGTAAGGTTGCAGGATACAAAATCAATGTACATAAATCCACTGCATTTCTATACACTAATTATGAAGCCATGGAAAAAGGAATTAAGAAAACAATCCCATTTACAATGTACTGAAAATAATAAATACCTAAGAATAAACTAAATCAAAGAGGTGAAAGACCTGTACTCTGAAAACTATAAAACACTGGTAAAAGAAATTGAAGACAACACAAAGAAATGGAAAGACATTCCATGTGCATGGATGGGAAGAACAAATATTGTTAAAATGTCTATACTACCCAAAGCAATCATAGATTAAATGTGATCTCTGTCAAAATACCAACAGCATTTTTCACAGAACTAGAACTAACAATCCTAAAATTTGTATGGAGCCCCAAAAGACCCTGAACAGCCACAGCAATCTTCAAAAAGCAAAGCAAAGCTGGAGATAACACAATTCCAGATTTCAAGTTATACTACAAAGCTATAGTAATCAAAACAGTATGGTACTGGAACAAAAACAGACACATAGATCAATGGAACAAAATAGAAATCCCAGAAATAAACTCGACAAAGGAGGCAAGACTATGCAATGGGAAAAAGACAGTCTCTTTAAGAAATTATGTTGAGAAAACTGGACAGCTACATGCAAAAGAATGAAACTGGACCACTTTGTTACAGCATACACAAAAATAAACTCAAAATGGATTAAGGACCTAAATGTGAGACCTGAAACCATAAAAATCCTAGAATAGAGAACAAGCAGTAATTTCTCTGACATTGGCCATGACAATATCTTTCTAGATACGTCTCCTGAGACAAGGGAAACAAAAGCAAAAATAAACTATTGGGACAACATCAAAATAAAAAGCCTATGCACAGCAAAGGAAACAACCAACAAAAACAAAAGACAACCTACTGAATAGGAGAAGATATTTGCAAAATGACACATCTGATAAAGGGTTAGTACCCAAAACATATCAAGAACTGATACAACTAAATACCACCCCCCCCAATAATACAATTAAAAAATGGGCAGAAGCCACATTTCTCCAAAGAAGGCATCCAGATGGCCAACAGAGACACATGAAAAGATGCTCAACATCATTCATCATCAGAGAAATACAAATCAAAACTAAATGAGATATAACCTAGGGGCGCCTGGGTGGCTCATTCGGTTGGGCATCCAATTCGACTCAGGTCATGATCTCACAGTCCATGAGTTTGAGCCCCGCATCGGGCTCTGTGCTGACAATTCAGAGCCCTGGAGCCTGCTTCGGATTCTGTGTCTCCCTCTCTCTCTGCCCTGCTCTGTCTCTCTGTCTCAAAAATAAATAAAACATTAAAAATAAATAAATAAATGAGATATAACCTCATACCTGTCAGAATGGCTAAAATAAAAAACTCAAGAAACAAATGCTGGCAAGGGTGTGGAAAAAGGGGAACCCTCTTGCACTGTTGGTGGGAATGTAAACTGGTACAGCCACTGTGGAAACAGTATGGAGGTTCCTCAAAAATTTTAAAATAGAACTACCTATAATCTAGTAATCACACTACTGGGTATTTACCCAAAGAATTTGAAAACACTAATTTGAAGGGACATATGCACCCTTACGTTTACTACAGCATTATTTATAATAGCCAAATTATGGGAGCAACCCAACTGTCCATTGATAGATGAATGGATAAAGAAGATGTGGTATATATGTATGCATGTGTACACATATATATATGTGTACACACACACACACACACACACACACACACACACACCAATGGAACATTACTGAGCCTTAAAAAAGAATGAAATCTTGCCATTTGCAATGATGCAAATGGATCTAGAGCATATAATGCTAAGCAAATAAGCCAGGCAGAGAAAGACAAATACCATATGATTTCACTCATATATGGAATTTAAGAAGCAAAACAAACAAAGGAGAAAAAAAGAGACAAACAAACAAAAAACCAGACTTGTAACTCTAGAGAACAAACAGATGGTTACCAGAGGGGAGGTGGTTAGGGGGATGGATGAAATAGGTGAATGGGATTAAGAGTACTTATCTTGATGAGCACTGAACAATATATGGAACTGTTGAATTACTACATTGTACACCTGAAGCTAATATAACATATTAACTACATATACTGGGATTTTTAAAAAGTTGATTACAGTCACTAACAGATTATGATAATGCCCTCAGAACTTATAACACATTATTATATACGTGTACATAGACTGCTACAGAGGGTTATCTTAACAAAGTATATATGAGAACATTATTCCAATTACTGTTCATCCACTTTTTGGAATAGAAGTATTTTCAAGTAGACTTAAGGGGGTTGTTCCTGACACCTAGGTAGAGTTAGTCTAACAGACAACTGGAAATGGAGGGCTGGTGATATTAAATGTAGAAATTTGAATTCATCTGCACCCGAGTATTGAAAGTAGGCGGGGCGCCTGGGTGGTGCAGTCGGTTAAGCGTCCGACTTCAGCCAGGTCACGATCTCGCGGTCTGTGAGTTCGAGCCCCGCGTCGGGCTCTGGGCTGATGGCTCAGAGCCTGGAGCCTGTTTCCGATTCTGTGTCTCCCTCTCTCTCTGCCCCTCCCCCGTTCATGCTCTGTCTCTCTCTGTCGCAAAAATAAATAAATGTTGAAAAAAAAAAAATTAAAAATGAAAGTAGGCAAGGGATCATATTAACATAAAAGAGGAAGATGCTAAAAAGAGACCAGGGTAATGAGTTAAAAATCCTGAGCAGAGGACTATTCAGTGAAGAATACCCAGTTCTCCTCCAACCAATGTTTCCAGCTTCCCAATCATTTAAATTTCTCCAGAATATTTTATGTATAAGCAAACAAGTAAACATTTTCTCTTAATTTTTTATATAAACAGTAGAATATTAGACACACTGTTTAGCATCTTTTCAATTCATCCTGGTGAGATTTCCTTATGAATAAATAATGCCCTCATTTTTACATGGCAGCCTAATATTTTAATTTAAAGATGTAAGATCATTGAACCAATTCTCTAGATATTTAAGTTACTTTCTTTTACTATCACAAAAAAACATAATGAATAATCTTGTATACATGTAAAATGACATGTGATTACATATGTAAAATGAATTCCTAGAAAAAGAACTATGGGATCAAAGTACAAGTGTATCTGTGATTTTAACAGCCATTGCCAAAATGCTTCACCCCTGGGGTAGGCAAAATAATAGTCCCCAAAAATGTCCAAATCCTAATCTCTTGGAACCCAGTACATTACATGATAAAGGGTACGTTGCAGATATGATTAAGTTAATATAGGGAGAGTATCCTAAATGGTCCAGGTGGGTCCAATGTAATCTCAAGGATTCCCTTAAGAAGAAAGCAGGAGGGTGAGTCGGATAAAGATGAGATGCTAGGTCTGAAGATGATGAGTCAAAGAATACAAGCCGCCTTTAGAAGCTTTTGGCAAGGAAATGGATCCTCCCCTGGATCTTTAGAAAGCATGCAACCCTGCTAATACCTTAATTTTAGGACTCCTGACCTTCAGAACTGTAAGAGAATAAATTTGTGTTCTTTTAAGCCACTAGATCTGTGGTCATTTGTTATAGGACCAGTAAGAAACCAGTACACTCCCTCCAGAGTTTATAAGCTATTTTACTCCCACAGTCTTATCAATAGGGTATCTTTGCCAACCCATTGGTGAAAAGGCTTTCTCAGAGAACCTTCAATCTGTATTTCTTAAACTATAAAGATTGGGAATATTTCCAATGTTTTAAGAGGCATCTGTACTTGCTTCTCTGTTGAGTAACTAGCTCTTTCTTAATTTTTTCCTATTGGCTTGCTGGCCCTTTCTCCCACCTCACCTCCCCCACTGTGTAGTTTCTTTCTTTTTTTTTTTTTTTTAAGTTTTTATTTAAATTCCAGTTAGTTAGGAAACAGTTTAATATTAGTTTCAAGTGTAAAATACAGTGATTCAACACTTCCATACATCTGATGTTCATCACAACATGTGAACTCCTTAATTCCCACCACCTATTTCACCCATATGCACACCCACCTCCCTTCTGGTAACTTGTTTGTTCTCTATAGTTAAGAGTATTCAGGGGCACCTGGGTGGCTCAGTCAGTTAAGTGATCTACTTGGGTTCAGGTCATGATCTCATCGTTTGTGTGTTTGAGCCCCGCATCAGGCTCTGTGCTGACAGCCTAGAGCCTGCTTCTGATTCTGTGTCTCCCTCTCTCTCCACCCCTCCACCGCTCATGCTCTGTGTCTCAAAACTGAATAAAAATTTTTTAAAAAAATTTAAAGTGTTTCTTGGTTGCCCCTTTTCCCCCTATGCTTGTTTTTGTTTCTTAAATTCCACATATGAGTGAAATCATATGGTATTTGTCTTTCTTTCTCTGACTGGCTTAATTTTGCTTAGGATTATACTCTCTAGCTCCATCCATGTTGTTGCAAATAGCAAGATTTCATTCTTTTTTGTGGCTGAATAATATTCCATTGTGTATATATACCACATCTTCTTTATGCATTCATCTGTTGATGGATCTTTCCATAAATTGTCTACTACAGATAATACTACTATGAACATCAGGGTGCATGTATCCCTCTGAATTAGTATTTTTGTATTCTTTGGTTAAATACCCAGTAGTGCAGGGGCGCCTGGGTGGCGCAGTCGGTTAAGCATCCGACTTCAGCCAGGTCACGATCTCGCGGTCCGTGAGTTCGAGCCCCGCGTCGGGCTCTGGGCTGATGGCTCAGAGCCTGGAGCCTGTTTCCGATTCTGTGTCTCCCTCTCTCTCTGCCCCTCCCCCGTTCATACTCTGTCTCTCTCTGTCCCAAAAATAAATAAACGTTGAAAAAAAAAAATTAAAAAATAAATAAATAAATAAATAAATACCCAGTAGTGCAATTGCTGGATTGCTTCCAACAGTATGAGGAACTTCCATACTGTTTCCACTTCCAAACTGCATCAGTTTGCACTCCTACCAACAGTATAAGAAAGTTCCCCTTTCTCCAAATCCTTGCCAACATGTGTTGTTTCTTGTGTTGCTGATTTTAGCCATTCTGACAGAGGTAGTGTGAGGTAATATCTCATTGTAATTTTGATTTGTATTTCCCTGATGATGAGTGATGTTGAGCATCTTTTCATGTGTCTGTTGGCCATCTGGATTTCCTCTTTGGAAAAATGTCTGTCCATGTGTTCTTTCCATTTTTAACAGGATTATTAATTTTTTGGGTGTTGAATTTTGTAAGTTCTTTATATATTTTGTATACTAACCCTTTATTGGATATGTCATTTGCAAATATTCTTTCCCATTCTGCTGGCCCTTTCCTAACAAATGTTAATATTAGCTAATATTAATATTCTTGGGTAGTAAGTAATATTCTCAATAACAAAAGAGAAAATGGAAGAAAAAATTCATTAAATAGGACAGTACTATCTCAATTTTGGATGCGCCCCCCCCACCACTTCTTTTCCTTTGATTGCTTTTATGTAAATCACAGCCTAAAACAGAAATTTTTATCAAACTCATTTATTGAATATATTGTCTTGTAAAAGTCATTCAGCTTTTCTGATCAAAAATAGTATATGTGAGGGGTGCCCAGCTGGCTCAGTTGGAAGAGTGTGGGACTCTTGATGTTGGGATCATGAATTTGAGCTCCACATTGGGTACAGAGATTACTAAAAATAAATAAGTAAACTTAAATATAATATATGTGAAAAATGAACACAACCTTGTACTAGACCAGTGGTTCTTAAACATTTCAGTGGAACTCTGGTGTTTGGAGAAGAGATAATTGAGGGACTTTTCAATGACATATTTCCCAAAACAATAAACTCCCCTCAGGATTTCATTTGACTGCCAGACAAGATTACAAACCACTTGAACTAGGTCCCCTCTAAGCTCTCTTTCATCAAGCTTACTACTTGATGCTTATGTACATTCACCAATATTTGGAAAGTTTCAGGAGTAATTTCCATGGTGCCTTCTTAAATCTCCCAAATAACTACCCAGTATAATTTTTCTTATCAACAAGGCTAAAAATTAAGATTTAGAATCCTAAAATGCTTGGTTTTCACTGAAGAGAAGCAAAACTAACACTAAAAAAATTAACTGCAGTTAAATTTTTTCCCACTGAGAGAATGGCAAGCAAAGGTAATAAAGCACTGTACTGGGATATTTACTTTAGTAGTGTCAATTACTGAAAAATGTCATTTGGTTTGCAAACAGATTTTTCTGTTTCAGTGATATTTTACTAAAAATTAAAAATCAGTTAAAAAGAACATGAATTATGAACAATTAATAATAACAAAACATTACCTCTCAACGCTCATGCTTTTCCTATCTCCATCCCTTGAAATGAAAAAAAAGAAAAAAGTTTTCTTTGCATTCTCAAAGAAGGCTCAGTTCCATTTAGTCAACTAAGAGGATTTAATACATCAATTACCATTTAAAAATCTCAGTAATGTTTTTTGTTAAAATTTATACACCGTGAGAAACTGAGTTTTTTAAATCTCAAAATAAAACTATCAACAAAGAATACAGATAAGATGCTAATATGATTATGTGTGTAAAGGATCCAGTCTATCTCTATCAAAGAGAATAAATATGAAAATAGGTTGATATTATAAATTGCTTCTGTTAAAAGCCTGAATATCAAAACCATGACTTACAGAAACCAATAGGAGTAAGAAGCATAATCATTTGCAGTTATACAATATATGTAATTAAATATCAATTACCTAGTTTTTGGCCATGTATATTAACTTCACTCTCTTAGAGTTACTTATTACTCATTTTTACTACTCTATATAAACTTCAGTTAGAATTTGGACACAGTAGTAGGATGATTGGGAATCTAATCCATCTAGTTTGGTTGGATTCTAGCTGTCCTGATAGGAGTAATTGAAACCAAAAAGCTGAAATGATATGTAGATTATTCGTTTTTCACATACTGAATGAACCTATTAGGAATAAGGCACTGTTCTAGGCATTGGGCATATAGTTATGACCAAAACAGAGCAAGTTCCTATCCTTAAGAAACATATCTTAGTGGAGGGAGACAAGTAAACAAATATAGAAGTAAATATGGAATATGTTAGCAGTTGAGAATAACTATAGATTAAAAAATAAAGCAGGATAGGGGAATAGAGAATGTACATAGAAGAGAAGGGAGGTTTGATATATTATAAATTACCTATGCGTTTCACTTCAGAGCATTACCTACATCTTTAAATACCACAGTTTAATATACGCTATGTTATATCAAGAACTATATTATTTTCAAGCACTATGGAAATAAAAAGAGGATAATTCTTAGATTAAAGAAGAAAGTCTTATTTCCCATTACCTTCAAATATTAGACTATGCATAGTAATGTGATTTCCTTCTCTGATCTTTCATTATATCCACTTAAGATCAAAGTCAGCTCACTATGAGCTTAAGAATGAGGAACATGGAGATACTGCACAACCTGCAATGTCTACAAGATTTAGCAGGTTTAATTATTTTATCAAACTTCTTTCATATGTCTCCTCAGTAATCTTCCTGCTTTCCTTTAGTTTAAGAATCAGAATATCAAGGAGTTATTTTGAGGGCAGGCTGACAGGATGATAACAAAATTATAAAAATAGTGCCCGTTGTTAATTCCCATTCTTTTTTAAAATTCCTTCTTTTCACCCACTCCCAACCGTGTACGCTTTAGCTCTAAGATACTTCTTTTTAAGACTGAGATCAAAGAGTGGCAGGGAAAAATCCTAGGGCCTCTCCTCTAGCTGTTTCCTCTTCTCCTACATCTTTGTATGGCTGGCCACTTCAGGTCCCTGCCTCTGGGGGGGACATAATCGTTTGCAGTTATACATGTAATTAAATATCAATTACCTAGTTTTTGGTCATGTATATTAACTTCGCTCTCCTATACTTACTACTCATTTTTACTACTCAATAGAACTTCAATTAGATTATGGATCATGCCTCTGGATCATGGCTGCAACCCCCTACTCTTAAGGCCCAAGTCATTTTCCAGTCCCTTACTCTGCCTTACTTTCTTCATTTGTTTATTTGGTTACTTCCTGTTTCCCACACTATTATGTAAACTCCATGAAGGCAGGAGTTTGTCTTGTTTCCTAGTATTCTTCCCAGTGCCTAGAACAGTACCTAACAACGTAATTAGTCAGTATTGAATGAATCTGCCAATTATTTACAAATCTGGAAAAGAAAAGAAATATAGTTGTTAGTTCAGAAAGCCTTTCAAAGAATTAAAGAGATTAAATCAAAGAGATTAAATCTCTTTGCTTAAGGGGTAAATTCTGGAATATGAGCCACTTTCCTTCCTTAGCAATCAGAACACCATTGTCGTTATGTTCTAAATGAAAAATAAGACAGGTACAGACAAGAAAGAACTCATCATGCCTCTTGTCTATCTACCCAATTGCTGTGGCCAACAGCCAAAAAGTGATTCTTTGTTCCTCTTTTCCTTTCCTCCCACCTCCAATCTTTTGACTTTAATTCAAAAATTATATTCTGGAATGAACTAGCCTAAAAAAATTTTTAAACATATTATCCTTAGAGCCTCCATGTCAATGGTTAATATTGCTATTTCAGCAAATGATAAAGAAAAAACAAAATGACTATACACATAGATACCTTGCCAGGAGTGTTGAACCTAGACCCAGGGAAATATGAAGGAAATGATGCCAAGATGTTTCAGAGAAAAGAAGAGAAAGTAATGCCCTCTGTTGGTAGAGTTCTGTACAAGTAATAATTCCAAGGGCCTTTAACATTTTCTCTGTAACTTTTCCTATGCCAGACACCTAGAAAAGAGTCAATATTTATCATTAATAAAGTTTTACATTAAGGCAAGAACAGATATTTAACCTCATTATACCTTTTATAACCAATAAAAGGTACGAATAATGTGACTATCTTCACAAGTCATGCAAGAAAACTGCTTTAATTATTTTTGGGCACATCTAAACAAGTGCTATAAGGAATTAAAATTTTTAAATTTCAGGTAATTTGAAAAAGTATTAAAAAAAGAATTCTATTATAGAAACTTAGAAAATGGAATAAACAAATTAAAAATAAACAGCAAAACTTATGAATCTTTAGTATACTATTATCTGTTGTGACCCACTAAAGCTGTTATGTTCCAAAGTTCTCTGACCCCAGAACTTTTTTTTTAATGGAACATCTACTCATACCTTGAAAACCACACTGGAAAATGCTGCTTTATAGTTACATGTTATATATTCTAAACTATTCAGTGATCACACATTATATTCTTTGAACTGCTTCTTAGCCTTTTGGCTAAGATCAAGTGTAGTACATTATATTCTTTGATTACAGACTTTGTTCTGAGCATTGAGAGATTTTTATTTAAATCTACTCCTACACATTATGTTGAGCAAGAAAATTAAGCCCCCAGAACATCAAATAGTGTCTAGTGTAATTATTGTTTTTTAAAAAAGCATATATATGCAGAAAAATCTACAAGCTGTAAAAAATAGTAAAACACACCCTTTCTCTTACCCTGAGGGATCATTTTACCATTTTAAAGATAATATTTTTTTTGGTCAAAACAAATTTCTAAATCTCTGAAGTCTCATACCTATTGATCTGGTGGCACCTAGACTTTAGAACTAAAATAGTATATTAAGTGATAGCTGAAAGGACTCTTCCAAGTATTCTTTTTATTTCTGTTCTTCTTAGTAGCAGTACACTTAAAAATCTTTCATCTATTACTTTCTTAAACTTTTTCAGCAAACAAGCTTCTTAAACCTCAGTTTAGGGTTTCATACAAAGATTTCTTCAAGCCCAAACTCAATCATCCATTTTACTTCTTGCTTGTTACCTATACCTCTAGAACTTTTCAGCGAAGAATGATTATTAACATCCTAAATAGTGTCTCTTCCGAGTATATTTATATGAATACATATATGTTTATTTATATAAACTCTATATAAAATCTCACCTTTCTAATGGGTAAGTCCTTGATGAAATCCATCACAGCTTCTCTACTGGGGAGAATTTGGTATTGTCCATTTGGTTTATTCTTATCACTGCATACTTTTGCTAACATTGTATTTGGGGCAATGCCTTAAAAGAAGAACACCCTGATGACTCAAAGAAGTTGACATATATGATTTTAAAATATATGATGACAATACTGAAAAAAAATGGTCAGTGCAAAACATCTGAAATGATGTGGAATGGTACTTTAAAAATAACATTTGATAACTTCCTATCTCCTCAGGGCTCGATACGATTTTAGGAAAAGGAAATGTAGTAGTTACTGTGACAGCAAAAATAAGGAACATTTAATCTCTCCATGGTATCTTATTTTATTTTTAAAAATTTTTAATGTTTATTTATACTTTTGGGAGAGACAGAGTGACACAGCATGAGCGGGGGAGGGGCAGAGAGCGAGGGACACACAGAATCTAAATCAGGCTCCATACTCTGAGCTGTCAGCACAGTTCATACTCACTAACTGTGAGATCATGACCTGAGCCGGGGTCAGATGCTTAACTGACTGAACCACCCAGGCACCCCTCTCTCCATGGTATTTTAAAGTCTACGAGTAATTTATGAGTTTAAGTAATATCATTAGTTTATGTACCATTTTTAGTAGCAATACAGGGCTGACTTATAGAAAGATCCAGAATATAACTTAGGATGGATGTTCACTCTTTGAAAAGGTCTTCTGTATAGATTATCCACATAAAAAAAATCAGGACGCCTGGGTGGCTCAGTCAGTCAAGCATACAACTTTGGCTCAGGTCATGATCTTGCAGTTTGTGGGTTTGAGCCTCACGTTAGGCTTTATGTTGACAATTCAGAGCCTGGAACAAGCTTTGGATTCTGTGTCTCTCTCTCTCTCTCTGCCCCTCCCCTGCTTATGCTCTGTTTCTCTCTGTCTCTTAAAAATAAGTAAATGCGGGGGCGCCTGGGTGGCGCAGTCGGTTAGGCGTCCGACTTCAGCCAGGTCACGATCTCGCGGCCCGTGAGTTCGAGCCCCGCGTCAGGCTCTGGGCTGATGGCTCGGAGCCTGGAGCCTGTTTCCGATTCTGTGTCTCCCTCTCTCTCTGCCCCTCCCCCGTTCATGCTCTGTCTCTCTCTGTCCCAAAAATAAATAAAAACGTTGAAAAAAAAAATTTAAAAAAAAAAAAAAAAATAAGTAAATGCTATAAGAAATAAAATAAAAAATAAAATAAATTTAAAAAAATCAAATATTCTAGGTTGCATTATACTTAAAACAATGATAATAAAATACATGCATTCTTTTCATGTTATACACAAAGCAAATTAATACTTTTCGGGAAGATATTTTAAAATCTCTAGGAGTCTCAATGAGTAAGATAACTTAAAATACTCAAATAGAGTCACTAAGTGATTCATTTCTATTTTTGTACACATCCTACTAAAATTTGTTACTTATTCTCACACTTTGGCATAGAAAGGAAAGATTAATGTAATCATAATATGGCTTTTATAAGATAATGTTAAGACACAGTGATACCCTCATGGGTTACTGACATTTGTGAAGCTCTTTTTCCCTTCACTAGCTGGCCCTAGATTGCTATGTAGCTAGTTGGGGTTTTTTCTATCTTCTACTTTGTGGTCAGCTGGGGTCTTTCCTGAACTGTAATCCTGGACAGGGCTGAAGTCTTCAAAGGGAAAACCAATAAAGCTAAACCAATTAAAATACTGAATGCTTAAAAAAAGGATAGCTACATTAGATTTATGAAAGTTTTTTCTTTGGGCTCATGGGCCTTTCTGCTGAATTCCAATTTACCTGTAGGTTCACAGTATTCTGAATAGGTAAAGTCATTAGAAATTGAAATCATAAAGGGTAAGTAAAATGTCACTATATACTTCATAACCAGAAACTACTAATATTACACTTATATTAGCCAGTCTGAAATTTTTAACTATGGGGTAGCCATCAAATCCCTTTTAAGTACCTGCACTGGCTGTCAATGTTGTTTTTTGCTCAATTCTGAAACGAATTTCCTTTACGGCTTCCTCGGCTGATGTTCCAAAAACAATCGCATTTTGGAGTATTTGAGAATTATTTTGCTCTTCAGAGTTTGCTTGGAAAGGATTTCCTTGGGGGTGCAAATCAGGAGGAATGTCATTAAAGAGTAGTGGAGGGATGGATCGCTCCTGCTCCCTCACTTTATTCACTTCTTCTCCAGGTTTATCTAAATTATAAACAGGAACAGTAATTATCTTCATAAATCTTCATAAATACAAAAGTACATACTTCATAAATTAGGTTTCCCTACATTCTTTTTAAAGACAAAGCAAATCTAGTTTAGTTTTGTTTCTCTTTTTTTTTTTTTAGTTTTGTTTCTAAGAACCAAGATGACAAATGTTATTTATATTTTGTAACTGTTTAACAAAGAAAATACTGATTCTAAGTTTTTCTTAAAAGGAATATTATCTATTTCCATGGTATACACTTTAAGAAGAAACATCCTATGTAAAACTCACCAATTTGTGTACCATACCTAAATTAACTAGAAATGGGCCTAGTCACATTACTTCTTCTTTTTTTTTTTTTTTAAAAAGCTTTTTTCCTTTACTCATTAAATTAGAATTTAGGATTGAGGAAAAATGCATTAGCAATCAAGAATAATTATGCTGAGAAGTAAAGTTTTTTTAGAGAGAAAAAAACCTTCCATTTTCTTCACAGAAGAAACTTTTCAGACATTAAAATACTCTCAATTTCCCTCTTTCAAATGCTGATTTTAATTTTGACTTGCTTACTTATAAAGTACCACTTTTACTAAGGGCACACTTGAAATAAATAGTAATTACTGTTGGAGGTTACGCTTCTTTAAATATACAAATTCTTAAGGTCTGATCAGATTAACTCTGGTCCAAGTTTAAGGGAAAGAAGCCTTTATTATTACCAGTAGGCTATAACCTTGAAAGTAAAATAAAAATAGTAATCTAGTTATTGCCTCATTTTAGTTGCATTTTTCACAATTGGACTGTAAAATATACTCAAATTTATGCCAATATCAAAAATGTCCTCATTAAATCCATTAAATCCATTAAAGACTACTTTCAGGGCTTAATGGAAAAGAAATGCAGTTTAAATGTATTTATAAAAATTAAGATTAACAACAGAAATTTCTGATCTCTTCATAATTTTATTACATATAAATGTTTTCTATATTAAGATAAATACAGAAGCAAAAATTAAATTTCTGGTTTCAAGACACATATAAATGCATATTACTTAAAAAACGAACAACTAGGACTTTTAAGGAAGGTTTTTTTAAAGATAATACAAATAGTATGACAAACCACCAGATTAGTTTCAAATTTTAAAGCATCTAATTTGAATTAAGTTACAGAAAGATGTTTTCTAAATCTGAATTCCTAGGAAATCTGAATTCCTAGGCCATATACAAAATAAGTCTTATTTATAAACTTAACATTAGCAGTTATTTATGTGCCTCAGCTGCTTTCATTTTCCATATTCTATTTTTAAAATGATGAACATTTCAGGCACACCTGGATGGCTCAGTAAGTTAAGCATCTGACTTTGGCTCAGGTCATGATTTCACAGTTCATGAGTTCAAGCCCCACACTGGGCTCTAAACTAACAGCGCAGACCCTGCTTGGGGCTCTCTCTCTCTCTTTCCCTGTTCCTCTCTCTCTCTCTCCAAGTGGGTAAATTAACTTAAAAAAAAAATCTTCAAAATAAATAAGTAAGTAAGTAAATAAATAAATAAAATGTTAAACATTTCATAAGGCATTATGACTGTGGCAAAGTTGAAAGGTCCCCTTTTCCCCATCTGTATGCGTAAAAGTCAAGGTAAAGAGAGCTGCAGAAAAACTGCAAACCAGTTCATAAGCCCCTTATACAGAGTTCCTTATGCCATGTTTTGTACCTCATGAGTCCATCACAGTACTCTTAGGTGGGTCACTGATAGAACACCATAATAGGAAGCAAAGCATACTGCCTTTAGGTTCATTGTTAGAATAGCTGCTGAATGTTGCAGTCTCCTATTATTCCATCTGTCTAGTTCTCTGTTAGGCCTGCCTCTACAACTACTGCTACAGTAGTTTCTTATTAGCTTTTTGAAAAAAAATCTTTATAATCCCATAACTGAAGTGATCTGAATACAAAACTAAGATTTCTTATAATCTGAAACACTAGGATGAAAGCATCCCATCTGGAAGGCAAGTGCTAAAAGTATATGGTATTTCAGTTTCTTGTATTGCCTCACACTCACCATCCAGATTTATATGGCAGAATAAACATAAAATAATAATTATTGAGGCACCTAGGTGGCTCAGTCGGTTAAGCATCCCACTCTTGATTTCGGCTCAGGTCATGATGTTAGGGTTCTTGAGATCAAGCTTCGTGTTGAGCTCTGCACTGACAGCATGGAGCCTACTGGGGATCCTCTGTTTCCCCCTCTCTGTCTGTCCCACCACCCTGCACTTGTGCACACATCCATGCATGCGGTCTCTCTCTCAAAATAAATAAATATTTTTTTTAAATATTAATTATTTTATTTGCACATAGACAAAGTAGTTAGCAATACTTTTCCAAAGACTGCACCTTTCAGAAAAGAGGCAAACAGCAGAAAAATGTCTTAGACTTCAGAGGAAGATGTATCAGTCACCTGCCATGGCTCCAACTTACTACTGACCGCTTCCCATGGCATAATGTGAAATCAGGTATGCTGAAAAGTCCAGCCCACAGGGATTTATATATGAGGGAAAAAAGCTAAAACTATTTAAATAGCTTAAAAATGTGAAATACAAAAAAGTACATAAATAACTATATTAAAAATTCACATGCTCAAAGTGAGTTTGAATGTAGTATAATAAATGAAAAGAACGGTAGTAGAGAATGAAAACATTTACCTTAGTCTCAATGTAATTTTTTAAAATATATTGTGAAAATAATTGTTATAGGAGACCCTCATGGAGATGCTCTGATACAACCTTTGAATGGTTCCCCCACCTTCTCTTGTGAAAAGTAAGGAAATAAATTAAGATATAAAGCAAACATGACACCAGGTTTGTGCTGCTTCCCCCAAACAATAAAGTTATACTACAGAAAATCTTTTGCTCTAAGCCTCTGTGTCCAGGAATCATGCTTGTTTATCGTTTAATGTTTGTATTAAAGAGAGAGACCTATTCCTTAGAGTTCTAAATAAGATGGTGAAGCTGTGATCTGATGTCCCCATTAAACTTGCTCTAAAGATGTGACCTCTAAACAATATGAGAGAATTTTATGTCACTGAAGAAAACCCACCATTTTTATGCCATCAAAGATCCACCATTGTTGACTCAGGGGAAGTTACAAACGGGTTTCGCTACCACTGTCTGTCCCCCCACCCCCGAAGAGGTCAATGAGTTGTGCACAGGAAATACAGTTGTGGGTTGTGAACAAACTCTGTTTCTACCTTTTCATCCAGGTGAATTTTGCTCAGGGGTCTAGGACAGCTAAGATATCTGAAGTAATCATACCTCTGACAGAGGGCTAAAAGTAGTATGCATAATATCTACATGTTCCTTGACAGGGTTCTGGATAGGCAACAAAGATACCTTGAAAAAACCCTTAGGGTCATGAAACTTCTATTTCATTGTATACAAAGGAATCAAAATAAGGTCTAAACCAAAGAAGAGAGTTGGGAGTCATGACTTTTGGCAAGGCTGAAAACAGTCATAATCACTGTATAACCAGATTATAGATAATTTGGAAAACAAGAGGGAAAAAACTCACCCAATGTTTTCATATGTTTCAGGTCAATTTTTAAAAACTCTATTATCTGTTAACAACTACAACAAAAGACAACCTCCTCAGATTCAATACAACCCAACATTTTCTTAATTAGATCTTGGGAAAAGAACTGCTATGAAATTACTTTGTTTAGGGATTCTGCACAGTCTTTTTTTTGTTTATATATATAATTTATTGTCAAATTGGCTAACATACAGTGTATACAATGTGCTCTTGGTTTTGGGGTAGATTCCCATGATCCCTGCTTACATACAACACACAGTGATCATCCCAACAAATGCCCTCCTCAATGTCCCTCACCCATTTTTCCCTTTCCCCCAAACCCCCATCAACCCTCAGTTTGTTCTCCGTATTTAAGACTCTCTTATGGTTTGCCTCCCTTCCTCTCTGTTTGTAACTACTTTTTTTCCCTTCCCTTCCCCCATGGTCTTCTGTTAAGTTTCTCAAGTTCCACATATGAGTGAAAATATATGATATCTGTCTTTCTCTGCCTTCTTTCACTTAGCATAATACCCTAGGAAACAATCAACAAAACTAAAAGGCAACCGACAGAATGGGAAAAGATATTTGCAAATGACATATCGAATAAAGGGTTAGTATCCAAAATCTATAAAGAACTTACCAAACGCAATACCCAAAAAACAAATAATCCAGTGAAGAAATGAGCAGAAGACATAAATAGACACTTTCCAAAGAAGACATCCAGATGGCCAAGAGACACATGAAAAGATGCCCAACATCACTCATCATAGGGGAAATACAAATCAAAACCACACTGAGATACCACCTCACACAGGTCAGAGTGGATAAAATAAACAACTCAGGAAACAACAGATGGTGGCAAGGATGTGGAGAAACGGGAACCCTCTTGTACTGTTGGTGGGAATGCAAACTAGTGCACACCCTTAAACTCAAGAAATTTAACAATCTCATTTGGTTTAAAAGTGACATTCTACAAATTTAACTTAAAAATTCCACTAGTACATTTTAAGTTTCTGATTTTTCATTTTTAATATTTTTTCATAATAAAGGTTTAACTAGTCCTACCATCTATGGATGCTAATGCATTAACTGGGTTAATTCAAAGGGCTTTTTGTTTCTTTTTTAGTTTGATCATTCTAATTAATTGCTTACCATTTTCTAGGGAGTTCCCTGTTTTGATGAAATACTTCCTTTTGTCCTCAGGCCAATTTTGTCTTTCCTGTAAGTGCTTTGTTATATTCAAGTAGGCTTCATCAAGACTCATGGCCATAAAATTGGGATCATAATCAGCAAGTATTTCCTTAACCTTCAAAAGGAACAAAATGGTTTAAATTCTGCTGCCACAGCAAAACCTGTCATATAACAGCTGATAAGAAACATTAATATTCTTACTTTGAAATATAGCAAAAATCCTACAATCAATAGCTCATAGATTTAGGGAATAAATAATTTATTGCTAGGGCAAGTTTGTTCAAATTCTCTTTTGCATTAAAATAGATCATGAAGGCAGAAGACCATGAAACAGCTTCATTTGATACAATCTCTATTCAGCCATCTTTATCTAGATATAATAAGTGACTCAAATAAATCTCAGACATCCTTCTGCTGGCACAGAAAGAACAGTTAAGTAACATAATTTTAAATAACTGGTCAAGAGTAGAAGTGGTAACAATAGGACCCTGCTCCGTCTCACCTTTTATGATGGTTTTTGTTCATTTTATTTATTTCTTTATAATGTTTTTTAAGTTTATTTATTTTGAAAGAGACAAGAGAGAGTGAGAGGGGCAGAGAGAGAGAGGGAGAGAGAGAGAATCCTAAGCAGGCTCCATACTGTTAGTACAGAGCCCGATGTAGGGCTCAAACTCATGAACCATGAGATCATGACTTGAGGGAAGATCTAGAGTCAGACACTGATCCACCCAGGTGCCCCAATGGTTTCTGTTCCTTTTAGAAAGCAATAATCTTGGGGCACCTGAGTGGCTCAGTAGGTTAAGCATCTGACTCTTGACCTTGGCGCAGGTCATGACCTCAGGATTCATGAGATGAAGCCCCATGTCGGGCTCTGCACTGACAAACCAGAGACTGCTTGGGATTTTTTCTTTCTCCCTGACTCTCCCCCTCCCCCACTTGCCCTCTTGAGTGTGTGTGCTTTCTCAAAACAATTAAACATTTTAAAAAAATAAAAAGGAATAATCTTACATAAAGGTAGTATGATGCTTTAGAAAGTAGTTCTATTTTAATTAATTATAATATGTACATAAAACTCCACTCAAAACATACATTAATGCATGCATCCATTCAGAAAATAAAGCTCAATTATCGTGATTTGGAACGGGAAAGAGGACAACTCTACAGTGGAAGTCTGTGACTATATTAAATTATGAGGAAAAGTCTGGAGCTGCATCTTGAGATAAAAGAAATGAAGAGATCAGAATTTCTGTATGATTCCAGAAATGACTTTTATATAAGACAGTTTTATTATGTGAAACTATGAATTTTTTTAACCACTGAAGTATTACCTGAAATTAGAGGAAGTAGTTGCCAAAATAATATATATATTTGAAAAAAGTATTTATTGAATTATGTTATACTTCCATCTAGTATTTAAAATCTGTCTGCTGTATAATGAGAACTTTTTTGAAGTTTTATAAAAAGAAAGCTTTTTAGTTTATTTTAATTATGAACAGCTGTGTCAAAGGTAATTTTAGAAAATGGTGATATAAAACTTGGCCATGCTTTACTCAGAGAGTACCTTAATTAGCTTTGTTCTTGTAGAAGAAACCAGTTTTATAATGTACTCAAATGGAATCTTTCTAGTGAAAATGAAACTCTGGAAAGTCTGTAGTTGGCAGCCAACTACGATTATTCTCAATGAGAAGTACTCCCTAGAGACACGGAGTACTCACTAACTTCCTTTTCATAGGATACTGCTTCAAGAACAAAAATAGACATGTTCCAGTAAAATTCAAGCACTCTGCCTTCCAGAACAGTTAAAGCTGTTCCATTCTTTTGGATAAAATAAAAATGGCTTTTCCTTAAACTTTTAAACCAAGCCACACATATTAACACCCTTATAGTCAGGGAATTTGTGCTGTAGTTCATTTACACACAAGAACTCACTCGTTATCTGCAAAAAAACAAGCTAGATCCTGCTCAAATTTGAAAGATTTCTTCAATATATGTAAGACTGCAGGAAACTAAAAATAATTCAGGTCTCATCATATCATCTGAAGTTTTAATGAGTTAAATAAAGTAGGACACAAAAAAATCCTTTCTTACAAGGTTTTTGAAGGATTTTCAAACTTACTGAAAGCCTACAATATTTACGGGTAGCATTTCTACCCTTTTACATTAGGAATACAGTAAAAGACATAAGCAGTAACCACCTGTGAACGTGCTTCCCCCTTCACCACCACCTTTTCAGAGAGAGACAAAAAGCACTTGCTGCCACAGACTGTTTTTGAAAGAATGAAAAAAAGAATTTGCTTTTTTATTTGGGGTAGAGCACCTTTTTAATTTCGCTGGGAGTCATTTCTAGAGTACATGAGGTGGAAAACAAATAAGAGGAGCAAATCTAAAGATTCTTCACATGACTAAATGGTACTAAGTGCTAGCTCATAGTTTCTTAAGGGTTTCAATTCAGACAGTCGTCTTTAACACTGTATTGTACTACAGTAGGCTAAAAGTGTTTCACGTAGTATTCTAAAATTTTAATTTATGACTTAAGTTTTAGCACTAGCATGATCAAAAATATCAAAAATAGAGAAAAATAGCAGCTTTTCCTATAAGACAGTTTAGGCAATTTTACTGAATTAAATCTTTATATTTCAAAGACCCTTTTCAAATCAAGATTATTCCATTTTTTCTTCCATTATCAGTCTCTTGGACATTAAATGCTCATAAGCATCTTCACTAGACTATGAGGCAGGAAAACAGTTAATCAAAATACAGGAATTTTATTATTGTTTAAAAACATTTGATAAAAAAATTTATTCGCAAGAGTCTGAAATTAACTTGAGATTATATAAATTATAAATATAAGGTGATTCTAGAAAGATATATTTTGTACAGTAAGAAAAAAACAGCTCAAGTTAATGCAGGTTAAAATAAGGCAATCCAAAGTTTTCTAGGGAAATAAGAGCTTCTAAACAGAAGAAAAAAATATATGGAAAAGCAAATATCTGGGAAATAGAAGGGTGTACTCTGCATATTCAGCTCAGTTTTCCTTTTTTTTTTTTTGTTAATTTTTTAAAATGTTTCTTTATTTTTGAGAGAGAGAGAGACAGAGCATGAGCAGGGGAGGGGCAGAAAGAGAGGGAGATACAGAATGTGAAGCAGGCTCCAGGCTCTGAGCTGTCAGCACAGAACCCGATGTGGGGCTTGAACTCGTCAACTGCGAGATCATGACCTGAGCTGAAGTCAGATGCTTAACCAACTGAGTCACCCAGGCTCCCCTCAGCTCGGTTTTCAATAAATAAGCTGGACAAGTGATAGAGAGGTAAGATTTAAAGGGATAAGCTAAGACCAAATTATGAGGTGCTAAGGCATCTGGACTTGATTCTGTAAGTGAAAAGAAATCAGTCAAAGTCTGTAATACGAGTTCATCAGACTTACCTCTCTACTCACAGCTTGGTATTTGTCAAAGTTTGGGGGCACTATAGTGAGTTGTGGGCAGAGTCTTTTAGCAATAAATCCTGGCATAGCTGCACGAACACCAAACCTCCTTGCGTAGTAATTCGAAGTAGACTGAAAGAAAACAGACCACATAGGAAAAAATATACAAACCTAAATGGACACTTGATCAATACGTTCATAAGAAACACATTACTGATGTGTATTTTCAAGTCAAGGACATTTCTTTTATAGGCCACTGCCTCGAATTGAGCTTTGACTTTATTCTATCATAGTATTATACCATGACCCTCTCTCTCACTGCTGTCTCCATATTTATAACATGATACCAGGAAATAAACAAGACTAATAAAAAGGTTCTCTTATATTTCCAATAACTAATCTTCACTTGTTCTTTTTTTTTTTTTAAGTGCCATGAGGCTAGATGGTTTTAAGTTTATTTTTTTGGAGAAATAACACACACGAGCGAGTGCATGAACAGGGGAGGGGCAAGGAGAGAGAGAGAGACAGACAGAGAGAATTCCAAGCAGGCTCCACACTGTCGGCACAGAGCCCGATGCAGAGCTCGAAGTGGGGCTCGATGCAGGGCTTGATCTCACAAACCAAGAGATCATGACCTGAGCCAAAATCAAGAGTTGGACGCTTAACCAACTGAGCCACCAGGGGTCCCTAAACTTTACTGGTTCTAAGGCATACCTAATATAGTATACAGCAAAGTTTGGATGATGGTGGGTGATGCTACACGGAACTAATAGTTATAAAGTAATGATGCTACATGGAACTAATAGTTATAAAGTAATGTTATAGTACAAATAGATGTTATATGAAAGTAATAGTATAGAAAGTAATAGTATAGTATACTAGTATAGATTTGGAATTTGCTATACTTGGGGTTTGGCAAATTTTTCATTTACAACAAAAGTCAAAGGTTCTAATATATTGTCAGCCAAATTATATGTCAAAAATATAAGTGAATAAAGCTTAAAAGAACTTTGAAAATTACATTTTATTTTTTCAGGCTTGAATACCCTTTTTGGTGAAACACATTTGGTGAAAAAATTATGAAAGTCAGAAGGAGAACATTACTTTTAAATCTTGTTGATGATGATACCACACACAGTACCATTTCCAAAAAAATTTTATCACAAGTGACATCTTTGAAATCTCAAGTGAAAATTCAAAGGAATGCAAAACAGAATCTACCATATGAAAGGGATTACTTCAGAATAACATCAATTTGCCATTAATGGTTTTCAAATGGCATTTAATAAAAATCTTGATAGCACTCCAAACTATGCTAATCTTTGGTCAGTATTCTGGAACAGCAAATGCAGATAGCACTAGAAAAACAAATCAATATGTTAAATATAAATAAACCTAATGGAATTGATATGAAAGCTAGATCTGTAGTAGAGCTGAAACAAAATTTATAATACAACTTCCTTTAACTTTCAGGTTTGTGTTAGGTAGACTACATGTAAATCACAGCCACAGTATTTTACAGTTCCTCCTATCCAAGGGTGGGCTCCAGTGTCTCATGCCAAGTGACTAGCACTGAGACTTGCTTTGATCAAAAAGATGTGAAAGAGTGACATTATGTGAGTCTTGAAACCTAGGTATTATGAAGTCTGCAACTTTAGCCTTTGCTTTTTTGGGAAGCCAGCAACTGTGTAAAGATCTTGGGTTAAACTGCTAAATGATGATGTACCATATGGACAGAGGAATGCTCAATGGCTGGAAACCATTCCAGCCACCTTGGCTGAAGGGCCAAGCATGTTAGTGAAGCCATTTTGGATCCTCCAGCCCCTGCTAAATAGCTCTAGACAACCTCAGGTAGAGTGGAGTTATCCCCATTGTACTCTGCTTAAATTAGAGAATCATGAACAAATAAATGGTGTCCACTAAGTACTTGGAGGGGTTTGTTATGCAGCAATAAATAACTGCCATGAGGTCTAACTATAAATCCCAACTTAGAACATTTCAAGGATCTACCCAATTCATCAAGAAAGAATTTTTTTTTTAATGTTTATTTTTGAGAGAGAGAGAGAGAAAGTGAGCGCTAGTGGGGGAGGGGCAGAGAGAGAGAGAGGAAGACACAGAATCTGAAGTAGGCTCCAGGCTCTGAGCTGTCAGCACAGAGCCTGATGTGGGGCTCGGACTCACAGACTGTGAGATCATGACCCAAGCTGAAGTCAGACACTTAACCGACTGAGCCACCCAGGTGCCCCAAAAAAGAATTCTAACTGTAACAGACTGGAATAATCAAACATGTGCTATCACTACCATTAATTTCTAAATATACTTTTATGAGTTTAATAGAACAATAGCAATTATACTTCAAATCTCATTAGAAGGGAAGTCTATTAGCTGAGCACACAAAAGCAGTAATCTTTGTTTAAATATGGCAAATAATCATTTTGAATTTGGAAATAATAACCCATTTTTAGGAGGACAGAATTTATAGGAAAGAAAATATTTTGCAGATCTAGCAATGGATTTAGCTTTAACATGGCTACAGTATGCATTTGTGTATGTATATATACACACACATAGATAATTTCACAAAGATTATGATATATGTTCTTAAAAATAAATGCATTTTTTCAAATATAGGCTGATTATTTATAGGAAAAGGAGAGTAGTCTTGCAATAAACACTGTTTTGAAACTTCAATTGTTAGTTGTCTGCATACTTATGGGAGCAGAGATAATGAACAAACAGATTATAGTTTTATAATAAAACAGTAACTCAGTAGGAAGCAGATTTATAGCTAAGGCATTTGAAAGAGTTAGAAACAGGGTAGAATTCTCTTTGTTTCTCTTATAGATATGTTTTTTTTTTTTATACCAAAATCCATCTACTCCAGGTGTTATTTCTAATTCCCCACACAGTTTTAGCCACATATAGCAATCCTGGCCATCTTTACCTTCTATGGTTAGGGTGGCAATGAGGGAGAGCAACATGGCAATCACAAAAGTTAAGATTCTAAGCCATGGGAAAAACTAATTACAGTCCTATTTTAATGAAGTATGTTACTCTAGAACTAAGGTTGGGAAACCTTTTCTGTAAAAGTCTGGATAGTAATTACTTTAAACTCTGCAGATCATAGGGTCTCTGTTGCAGCTACTCAACTCTGCTCTTTTAGTATTATTATTTTTTAATCGGAGAGAGAGATAGAGAAAGCATGCACATACAAGCAGGGAAGAGGGGCAGAGGAAGAGAGAATTTTAAGCAGGCTTCATGCTCAGCGTGGAGCCTGACGTAGGATTCAATCTCACAACTGTGAGATAATGACCTAAGACGAAATTAAGAGTTGGCCACTCAACTGACTGAGACACCCAGGAGCCCCTCAACTCTGCTCTTTCAATGCAACAACAAATGGATGGCACGTGACAGAGTTCCAATAAAATTTTATTTACAAAAAAAAGGACTAGATTTGGCCTGCAAGCCACTGTGTGCAAGCCTGCTTTAGAATAACATTTCCTTTTCTTTCTTCTCCAGTTCTCTTTAACTAGAACAGTTACTTTAAAAAATATAATTTGCAACAGAAAGATACAATGTCACTCTACCATTCACCAGGTTTGTAATTTTGGGGAAGTTTTTAAACACCCCTCTGAGTTAGTTTCCTTGTCTGTCAAATGGAAATAAAAATTTCCTCAAGTGATGTTGAAAGGATTCCGTAATTGAGCACATATAAAGCACACAGAAAAACGCCCAGCAAACTGGTAAAGCTTACCAAAGGCTTCCCCTTCCCCCTTCATGAACCAGTAAGCTTTACTTGAATATGTTATGAAATTTCCTTTTTTGGGGCGCCTGGGTGGCGCAGTCGGTTAAGCGTCCGACTTCAGCCAGGTCACGATCTCGCGGTCCGTGAGTTCGAGCCCCGCGTCGGGCTCTGGGCTGATGGCTCAGAGCCTGGAGCCTGTTTCCGATTCTGTGTCTCCCTCTCTCTCTGCCCCTCCCCCGTTCATGCTGTGTCTCTCTCTGTCCCAAAAATAAATAAAACGTTGAAAAAAAAAAAAATTAAAAAAAAATAAAAATAAAAAAAAAAAAGAAATTTCCTTTTTTGTCTTTGATCTTTACCTACTTACCAACATCATCATTGATCCTACAGCAATGGGTTTATCCTTCAGTTCTGGATTGTCCCTCATTTCTACAGCTGCATAGAAAGCATCCATGTCAATGTGCACTATAGTATTGTTCAGATCCCGGCTCTGTTCTAATTCCATTGCAAATCTGTCAACCTTAATTTTTTAAAAAGTTAACATATTTTTAGTCAACATGATATAAAAACACCATAATCATAACATTAATCTCTCGTTTAGTAGGTATCTATCTCTGTCCATCTATCCATCCATCTTTCCACCCACCCATTGACCCACCTATCTATGTATACATTTTTTTGTTGAAGTTTCTTTTTTATTTATTTAACTTTTTTTTACTTAATTAATCTCTACACCCAACATAAGGCTCAAACTCACAACCCCAAAGTCAAAAGTCAGTCATATGTTCCACCGACTGAGCCAGCCAGGTACCCCTATCTACTTACACTTTATTGTTGTTTATTAAGGCTGATAATTGCTTCTATTTTCATGAAGATAGGGAGTTCATTCTCAAATATCTTACCCTACCAAGTCTTCCATCTCTCACTCACTACAATCACATAATAGGTACTTAATAAATATTTCTTGAATGAATGAAATATTGTAAGTGCTTGTATCAAATGATTCTTCTGCTTTATAAATTTGGACATCAACTAATGGTAAATAAAAGCTTCGGTAAAATAAACAACTCTCACTGACTCATAACATTAACATTTTAAAGTAGCAACAAAGGAAATCTACAACGAAAGATTATATACTTCTTTGGCATATTACCTTTATGCTGAAGAGTACTGTACAAGTGAATGTACAAATCATAATGTAAACATTCACTCTGTAGAACTGTTTTTATAAGGCTAAAATTTGGTAACCGTTAGTCAATACAAATCAAAATTGAAAATTTAAGCTATAATTTATTCTTTCATGAAATCAATATATACGTCAAATATAATAGCCAAGAAACTTATCTTTAGAGCATTTTTATTTCTCTAGAGAGAAAGAATTGGATTGATAAGAAGAAAGGGAAATGAAAGGAGGTAAAAATAACCAAAGTATGGCAGGCAGTAAGAAAAAGGTTTATGTAACAGACAGACCCATTTCCAAGTGTTCCTTTTTTGTGGCCTCTACTATAGAGGCTGAAGAGAAAAGAAGCTAAATATGCTTCCCAGCTTTCCCCGTAGCCGAGGGTGGTGGTGTGACCATTTTGATCTATGATCACTTTGAATAAGATGGAATACATAAGGAGCATGTAATAGTGGCTAGCAAATGGGACAAGTTTAATGAATGTAATCTCTTACTAAAGGATCAAAGGATAGCTGCACAGCAAAGGAATAAAAAACTGAGGGGAAAATAGATATAAGCAATAGGGGTAAGCTCTGGAATGAAAGCAATTTCCATCATGTGGAGATCTCTATAGCAGGTTTTCTCAAAAGTGGAAAGATGCAGGGGTATAATTCAGTATTTCCTCCTCGTTAGACTTCAACTCTGCTTCCATTCTGGAGAATTTTTTTCATGGTCTTCCTTCTTAGCATTATAGTGACACTAGTTTCCCCACTAGCTGCAGGCTAAGACTGCAACTTCTCTTTTAGAAATAATCCCCTGAGGAGCACCTGGTGGCCCAGTTGGTTAAGCGTCCGACTTGGGCTCAGGTCATGATCTCACAGTTCATGATTTCGAGGCCCACGTCGGGCTCTGGAAGCCTGGAGCCTGCTTCGGATTCTGTGTCTCCCTCTCCCTCTGCCCTTCCCTGGCTTGCACTCTGTCTCTCTCTCTCTCAAAGTTAGAAATATTAAAAGAAATAATCCCCTGAACCATATTTGTTTCCAGTTGGTTCCAGTGAACCTCTAGAGGGTCTGCTTCTGTTTAGGCTACAACTCACTGAGATGCTCTGTGCCTTTTTCAGGCTGTTCCTCTGTCTAGGATGATCTTCCTCATTCTGTCATAAAGCCTTGAAGGGTCAGCTCAGATACCTCTCTGTGGCTTAATTAGCTCTCTGTCCTCCATGCTACAGAATTTAATGTTCCCTTAGTTGTTTTCCTGCCCTTATGGTGCACTTACTATATTAGATACTAAATTATGAGTTCTATCAGGATAAAGACTTGATTTGCCTTTAAATTCTTTTCTTATAAGAGAGAAAGAGGTGAGACTTATAGGAGAAAATACATAAATTTTACACTGATAAATGTATATATTTTTTTCTGGTTTAAAAAAAATTTTTTTTTCAACATTTATTTATTTTTGGGACAGAGAGAGACAGAGCATGAACGGGGGAGGGGCAGAGAGAGAGGGAAACAGGCTCCAGGCTCTGAGCCATCAGCCCAGAGCCTGACGTGGGGCTCGAACTCCCGGACCGCGAGATCATGACCTGGCTGAAGTCGGACGCTCAACCGACTGCGCCACCCAGGCGCCCCTTTTTCTGGTTTAAAAAGAGGAAGTAGAATGTACAGAAAAATTTTGCAGAAGGCTGATCTCATGCAGTGAGATACCTAATAAGTGGAACTTTCACATGACTCCAATCTATCATCCAGATTTAAAACAACTATTTTTTCCAGTACTTCGATTTTAAATTAGAGAATAGCATCCTAACATTAAAAAAAAAAAAAAAAAGATGTAGACAAATCATGGAGGCTAATAAAAATAAGGGTGGGTTAAAAACTACTCTATTTTAATCTAGAAAATATACCTATGATAGGAATCGACTGAGAATACGGGAGCAGCATTTGAAGTATCTTAACCCATAAATATTGGAAAGGAAAAAGATAATAAATGGAAAGCAAACCAGGTGGAAAAAAGCTTTCCTTAGCCTCATATGTTAATTTTATGACAGTTCCTTCAGCAATCTATTATCTTTTCTGTGCTTCAAGCAAAAGTACAGTTGGCAAAAGGAAACCTCCCCACTGAGTGACTCACACATTCCGCTTTCCTCTACTCTCATTACTCACCCTTGTCTCTCTGCAACTACCAAATGCACACCACCCTGCTTTTCTCAAATTTCTTCTAATGAAATCCTCATTCATGTTTTCCATTCTTCTATTTTCCCTTACAAATAACTTCCATGTTCTGATCTGAGCCTCTCACGTGTATGTTATCCCTTTTGCCACAGTTCAAAACTAGTGTGTGTGACCATGGTTAAGAATAAGAGCTTCTTCGGGGTCTTCAGTTACATGTTGGGGGCAAGTTAACTCCCCTCATTCTTACTTTTTTTGAAAAGTGGGACTAAACCAATCCCCAACGATTGGAAGAATTAAAAGAGCTACTCATGTAATGTACTCATCCAGGGATATGGAAAGGGCTTCATGATATTACCCATAATTTTAAAAACAGAAGTGACATTTATTGAGTATATCAAATGTGTCCTATAACCACGGTGGCTAAGTGTACAGATTAGAATCAACACTTCTATGTTAACTCATTTAGTGATAAAAATAATTCTGAGATGGTAATTATTATTCCCATTTTGTAGATGAGGAAACTAAACTTCAGTAAGAGGAAGTAATCTGCCCTAAGTCATACAGCTGGTAAATGTTAGCACTAGACCTATAAACCAAGTTACTCTAAAGGCTGTGCTCTTTCCATTATTTTATAATGCTTCCCTAAAATGGATCTTAAAAAGTCTTTAAGGGGCGCCTGGGTGGCGCAGTCGGTTAAGCGTCCGACTTCAGCCAGGTCGCGATCTCGCGGTCCGTGAGTTCGAGCCCCGCGTCGGGCTCTGGGCTGATGGCTCGGAGCCTGGAGCCTGTTTCCGATTCTGTGTCTCCCTCTCTCTCTGCCCCTCCCCCGTTCATGCTCTGTCTCTCTCTGTCCCCAAAATAAATAAACGTTGAAAAAAAAAAAAAAAGTCTTTAATATTGAAATAACTTCAAACCAAACTCAAATAGTGTATTTTATATCAACATTATGCTTTATTTACTTTTTTTAAAAATCCCTTTTTTGATTACATTCAGGAAACTGTTTCAGAAATATTGTTTTTCATTTTCCTGACTTACTACTACCCTAAATTGGTAAATAAACCCAGGTCCATAAAATCAGTTGTTAAAATGGTCAAAATGCACAGATTTGCTGTGTAGTTTCCATTTAATATAACATGGATGTTTGTCTATTCTTTTTTTTTTTTTTAAGTTTATTTATTTATTTGAGAGAGAGAAAGAGAGAGGGAGACCATGAACAGGACAGGGGCAGAAAGAGAAGGAGAGAGAGAGAATCCCAAGCAGGCTCCACAATGGCAACATGGAGCCCGATGTGGGGCTCGATCTCACAAACTGTGAGATCATGACCTGAACCAGAATCAAGAGTTGGACACTTAACCAACTGTGCCACCCAGGCACCTCAGATATTTGTCTATCTAATTTATGAATCCATGTTATAACAAGATGTTTTGGCAGCTACAAAAATGATTGTGCCTTTAAGAAGTCTAAAGAGGGTAGGATGGAGTGGGGAACACTTAGGTTCTGAATAAATACTCCGGGAGACTATAGAGGTTAGTTAGCTCAGCTTGACTAACAATAATAGTTCCTACCATCATAGCATGCATACAAAAATCTATTATTTGGAAAATTCATGACACTGGAATAGAAACACATTTCCCATGGAAAACCTCTCTTACTCTCAGATCTTCTAGATTCCTTAGGATTTCCTCAATCCCCTCCCATTTACACAATTTCTTTTAAAGGAAGCTCAACAAGTGAAACAATTTAACAATCAACATAAAACAGATTTCCTGCCACTCCCCTTTCAAAAGATGTCAGAGAGTCTCTCATGAAATAGTCACAAAAACTGTAACAAAATCTGAAGCTCTGTTACACAATATAAAGTATTTTCTAATACTTCAGATTGTTAGCATATTTAAGGATTATGAGCTTTAAAAAGAGTCATGAACAGCAAAAAGTTCTTATATTGAATGACTCATATGCATTATATCTTTAAAGCTTTTTATAAGAGATATTTGTATAGATGATTAAAACTTACCAAAAAAAGGTTCTGAAAATAAATTGCCTAAGGATTAATATCAATTAAAAATAATGTTATTATACACAGAATGGATTTGTTTTAACTTGATGAAACAATGCTTAAATTTATGCGAAAGAATGCATGAGAAAAAAATTTATAGAATCGTAGTGAAGGAACATATTAAACATATTATTATTATTGAATAACTAAAATTGCATGGTATGATAGAGGAAAAGATTCAACTGAATAGAAGAGAGAATCCAGAAACAAATTCAAGTACAATGAGAATTTAGTATAGGAAGAAAGAAAGGGCCTGGGTGGCTCAGTCTGTTAAGTGACCGACTTCAGATCACGTCATGATCTTGCAGTTCATGAGTTCAAGCCCTGCGTGGGGCTCTGTGCTAACAGCTTGGAGCTTGGAGCCTGCTTTGGATTCTGTGTCTCCCTCTCCCTCTGTCCCTCCCCTGCTCGCACTCTGTCTCTCAAAAATGAATAAACATTAAAAAAAATTAAAAGGAGAAAGCACGTGAGCTGACGTAATGTGTGCAATTTCTCTTTCACTTGTTGAATAGCAAATTACTTGCCTTTGATTTTTTTTCCTCATTCTTTCTTCTTTACTGGGGTCTAGAATATAGACTGGAGGTAATCCCATTTTGTAAACCAGGTAACGGTAACACTTAGGGGATGACAGAACAACACGATGTAGAACCTGGGTCCCTAAATTACTACAGTGAGCAGAACCACCCAATCAGTTGGGACTACTTATCTATTTTTTTAAATGTTTATTTATTTATGAGAGAGAGAGAGAGAGAGAGAGAGAGAGAGAGAGCGCGCATGAGTGGGGCAGGAGCAGAGAGAGAGGGAGACACAGAATCCAAAGCTGGGTCCAGACTCCAAGTTGTCAGCAAGAGCCCAACATGGGGCTTGAACCCATGGAACTGCGAGATCATGACCTGAGCCAAAGTTGGACGCTTAACCGACTGAGCCACCCAGGTACCCCAGGAATACTTATCTATTATGTGAGAAAGAAATAAACTCTTAACTGATCTGAACCACTGTATTTTGGGATCTTGTGCCAGCTACTTAGCCTATATACTAACAATAAAAAAGGAATTCCCATAGGAATGAAATATTAATGGCTAATACAAGGGAAGACATTCTTTTTCTGTCATAATCAAAGAAGGTGCAAATTAAAATAAACATGAAATAATATTTAGACACTACCAGCAAAAACTAAAGGATTGATAAAATTAATAAAATTTAATTTGAAACAAGTATGTGAGGAAACTAGCACTCTTGTGTTGAAAATGTGAAACTGTACAATCTTTGGTGAAAATAACAGGACAAGAGTACAAAGATATGTAAATAAGAACAATCATCGCAAGGTTATATATAAAAACAAAAAACTGAAACCCATGTGGGATAAGGCAAATAAATTATGGTACCTCCATACAGTAGAATGCTATGAAGCACTAAAAATGCTAATTTTGGGGGTCGTCTGGGTGGCTCAGTCAGTTAAGTGTCTGACTTCGGCTCAGATCATGATATCGCAGTTTGTGAGTTTGAGCCCCACATAGAGCTCTGTGCTTCAGCACAGAGCCTGGAGCCTGCTTTGGATCTGTGTCTCCCTCTCTCTCTGCCCCTCCCCTGCTCGTGCTCTTTCTCTGTCCCTCAAAAAATGAATAAATGTTAAAAAAATTTTTTTAAATGATAATTTGGGAAGGCAAAAGCAAGTGATCTTTCTTTATGAGAGGAGACCACTTATCACATAAAATAAAAAACTAGCTTGTGCTCTAGGAAAGCATATATGAAGAAAATGACACATTACAATTTGGCAAAGAAAAAAACATAAAGTTTGGCATCTCTGAACTCTATCACGAGAAGAAATGTGTGGCCTAGATCAATATGATTTTATCATCATATTACAGCCTAAACTGCTTTGTTAAATTGAATCAGATTTTGATAGAGGATAAAAACTGTCTTTAAAAGTAAACTTTATTTAAAATTTTTTTTTTAAATATATAAAAGTAAACCTTAGGTTTACCAGCAAAACCTTGACTATTTTGAGTTTTCAATCAACTACATGATGCCCTGCAGTGTTGCTCTACTCAAACTCTTCTCCTGGAATAGCTTTTAAATACCAGAGGAAACTCTTTTGAGTATTTATTCCCTGAAGATACTGGAGAAGCCAAAAGCCTCCAAATTTTTAGAAGTCTGGTGTTTTATCTTAAAAATTCATGCACATTTGGCATTCTACCTTAGTTTAGTACAACACAATTATGTTTTAAATTGCTTTATAATTTAATTAGTGAACATGTTCCCCTAAATCTGTTTTGCAAAATCAGCATTGAAGAAAACATGCCACATTTATCTTGTGGCCTTTTGTAGCTGCAAAGTATGTATATAACAAAAAGAACATAAGCTTTGGATTAAATCCTAGCTCTGAAGCTAGGCAAGTTATTTACCCTAATTAAGGTTCCATTAACTCTTCTGTATAATGGAGGTGACAATGCCTAGGTATGGGGTCTTTATGTAAAAGAGTAGACCAATATTTAACAAAGTATGCATGTTTGTTAAATTTTATGCTTTATAATATAATGAACATTTACATTTTACCTTGTTTTCAGATGTGACTTGACCATGATGCATTTTAACTATCAATTACTATTCTACCAGCTTTCACTTTCTTTAGCAATTAAATTAATACCTGTAATTGTGCTTTCCTTAGCTGTTGGCTGGTAATTTGAGCTTTTTGTTGCATCATATTTTCAATTCGTTGGTTGACTTGCTTTTCTTTCTTGAGCTCATTTCCATAAAATTTGGACCCCTTTGTAAGAAAACAAAACAAAGCATAAGAAAGTGTCAGAAGGAAAGCATCACTGTAGTATGTATAACCATGGTACCTAAGTGTATAGACTAGAATCACAATTACTGAATTCAAAACTTAGCTCACTCCTTGCTAGCTGGGTGACCCTAAAACTACTAATCTTTCTATGTCTCAATTTCCTTACCTGCAAAATGAATTTATAGTTACCTACATCATAGGCTTGTTGAGACAGTAATTATACGCTGCAAACTCTGAGATGAGTACAGATCGGCACTCAGAAAATAACAATGTGTCCTAGACAGGATCCATGGGCATATCCAAGCCCTCAGTCATTTGGGTTATCAGTTATCTCCTTCACTTTTATGTAAAAAGCATTTATAAAATTTTGGGGCACCTGGGTGGCTCAGTCGGTTAAGCGTCCGACTTCGGCTCAGGTCATGATCTCATGGCTCATGAGTTCAAGCCCGACATCAGGCTCTGTGCTAACAGCTCAGAACCTGAAGCCTGCTTTGGATTCTGTGTCTCCCTCTTTCTCTGCCCCATCCCCACTTGCACTCTCTCAAAAATTTTTTAAAAAAGCTTTTACAAAATTTTAATGTTAGTCATTAAAGAAAATGTAGAAAATCACTTTTAGAAAATCACCTATCATCCCATCACTGAACATAACATCTATTCATTCATCAGGTTGATGAATTTTTTTTAATGTTAATGTGTTTATTTTGAGAGAGAGAGAGAGAGAGAGAGAGAGAGAGAGGGAGAGAGAATCCTAAGTAGGCTCTGCACAGTCAGCAAAGAGCCTGACCAGGGGCTTAATCCATGAAACCCTGAGATCACGACCTGAGCCAAAACCAACAGTTGGACACTTAACCAACTGAGCCACCCAGGTGCCCTAGGTTGATGGACATTTAGATTATTTTTACTTTGGCTTTTATGAGAAATGCTGCAATGAACATTCATATAGACATTTTTGCATGGACATATGTTTTCACTTTCCTTAGGTACCCAGGAGTGGAATCTCTGAGTCATATGGTAACTCCATTCTAAACCTTTTGAGAAACTGCCAGACTGTTTTCCAAAGTGGCTGAACCATTTTATAATCCCACCAGCAAAGTATGAGGGTTCTATTTTTCTATTTTTATATCTTTAGTGAAAAGTCTATTTATATTTTTTGTCCATTTTTAACTAGGTTGTCTTACTAACAATTTATAAAAATTCTCTTTATATTCTGGATGTAAGTCCTTTATCAGATAAGTATTTTGCAAATATTTTATATTACTATGTTGCTTATCATTTCATTTTTTAATTGTGTCTTTTGAAGTGCAGATGTTTTCAAATGTGATGAGTCTAACTTGTCAACTTTTTCTTTTACTGACTGTGCTTTTATTGTTATATCTAAGAAATGCTTGTCTAACCAAGAGTCTCAAAGACTTTCTCATATCGTCATTAAGTTTTACTGCTTTGGCTCTTACATTTATCTTGATTTTGAGTTAAATTTGTATATGGTGTGAAGTGAGGGTTTAGGTTCATCTTTTTTTTGCATGTGGATATCCAGTTGTCCCAGCATCATGTGCTGCACAGATGATCCTTCTGCCTTGGTACTTTCGTCAAAACCCAATAAAGTATCAATGCAAAGATTTACTTCTGGACTCTTAATTCTACCCCATTGTTCAATATGTCTAGCCTTATACAGTAACACACTATCTTGATAACTGTAGCTTTATAGCACATTCTTAAACAGGAAAGCCAAAGACCTTATTGTTTGTTCCTTTTCAAAATTGTTTTCACTATTTTAGGTGTTTCACATTTCCTTATAAATTTTAGGGTCTGTTTGTCAATTTTGGCAGGAAAAAAAGCCCCTTGAATTTGGATGAAAAATTACACTGAATCCATAGATCAGTTTGAGGAGAACTACCCTCTTAACGATGTTGAGTCTTCTCAATGTTGAACATAGGATGCTTTCATTTTTATATCCTTACTTTCCCTCAACACACTTTTGTTATTTTCAGGGTACAACTGTTGCACTCCTTTTGAAATCCGTAAGAGTTTCTATCCATAAACATCATGTTATTTGTGAAGAGATAGTTTTATTTCTTCCTTTCCAATCTAGATGCCTTTTATTTCTTTCTATTGCCTGACTACACTGGCTAGAACTCTCAGGACTATGTTGAAGAGAAGACATGAGAGTGGACTACCTTGTCTTGTTCCTGATTTTAGGAGAAAAGTGCATTCCTGGAATAAATCCCACTTGGTCATGGAACGCAATCTTCTTTTTATACTCCTGGATTCAGTTTGCTAACATTTTGTTGAGGGCTTTTATGTTTACAATGATCTATAATATTCTGCTTGTTTGGCTATTGTATCAAGGTGATACTGGTCTTATAGAATGAGTTGGCAAATGTTACATATTTCTTCATTTTCTGGAAGAACTTGTGGAATACTGGTATTATTTCTTCTTTTTTAAATGTTTACTTATTATTTTTTTCTAATGTTTATTTATTTTTGAAAGAGAGAGAGAGAGAGAGAGAGAGAGAGAGAGAGAGAGAGAGAGAATGAGCGGGGGAGGGGCTGAGAGAGGGAGACACAAAATCTGAAACAGGCTCCAGGCTCTGAGCTGTCGGCACAGAGCCCAATGCTGAGCTCGAACTCATGAACTGGGAAATCATGACCTGAGCTGAAGTCAGATGGTTAACCAACTGAGCCACACAGGTACCCCAGTATTATTTCTTCTTAAGTGTCAGATAAAATTCACCACTGAAGCCATCTTGACTTTTTTTTTTTTTTCGGGGGGAGGGGAATGGAGATTTTTAATTATTGATTTAATTTCTTTCCTTATTAAAGGTCTATTTAGATTTTCTTATTTTCTTGAGTCAGTTTTGGAAAACTTTAAATTTCTAGAAATTTATCCAATTTATTGGGATTTGTTTTAAAATACTCCATCTTCTACCTCCAAAATTCAGTAGGGAGGGGTGAGATAGATGAAACAATATTTGCAAATAAGTTGATGTCTGATGATGCTGGGTGATGATTACCCAGGAATTCACTTTAGTATCTCATTTTCTGTATGTTTTTCATTTCTGATAGGGGCATCTGGGTGGCTTAGTTGGTTGAGTGTCTGACTCTTGATTTCAGCTTAGGTCATGATCCCAGGGTCGCGGGATC